TTCATATTAGAAACCACACATTCCAATTTATGCATCGTGCATTTTCTTGGAACTGCATAAAGTAAATGGAGCATTCCATGTTGAAATTTATTATAAATATTATCGTGGAGAAGATCCAGTGCAGCTAGAACCACTGTCGTTTCCGAATTGCGGACAAAAATGCCCACTGGAAAAATTATTCGAAATTTACAAAGATATCATACCAACTGCCGATTTTGATGAAGAATGTCGTATACCGGATAAAACGATCAGCCAATTCCATCAAAATATTTCAAATATTTCAAATGATTCAAACCAAAGTAAGCAACACTATTATCATCACCACTTTATTAACTAACACCATTCGTTTTTTATTCTGATTCGCCAGTTTTTCTATCATCAATACTATTATTTTTTGGTTTGATAACCTCAATAATTAAAAACTAACCTGGTAAGATATGTCGAAAGATAATGAGTCTTATAACAACATTTCATGTCAATGTTACATGTTACTAATCGTGATAGGAATTTACATAATAATGACAGATCACATCGTATGAAGATAGAACAATGATATAATGTAGTGCTACGCTTGGTTGCATCAATTTTGAAGAAAAAAAAAATAAATTCAAACAAATGTTGTCGATGAAAACACGTGTGTTTCCATAAAATGTACTTTAAAATAAAACAGAAATAAAGAAACTCAATATTCTTGAACCCTCTGAACAAAAATGTGTACATGTATATCTGTGCAAAAATTTATATTACTCTGGACTTTCGAAATCGAGATTAAACACGTTATTGACAATACAATATTCAGACCCATAGAGTCTGACACAACTGACGTGATTTGTTTTATTCAGGGTAGGAAACCAAAACAAATCTTATTTTTTGAACAAAACAAACAAACAAAGTCTATAATGCAGCACGTTAACCAATTACATACAAAAATGATTTTGTATTTTCTAATCAAAAAGTTCAAAAAAAGAGAAAACCAAATGGTCTTTGATTTCATAAGCTACGGTCCTGGCTGATTCTTTTTAATTATACACACATTTGCATCTGTGTATCACGAAATGTTGATTTTGATATCATCTGGAGCCTCGATCAGTGTTATTTCGTTCAGATCTTCACTTTTGTAATTTTCCATCGATAAAAGACAGAGCTACGTTTTTCAACAAGATATGTTGCCTTTAAAAATTTCTCTATTCATGTGTGTGGAATTAATAATTATTAATCAAGTTCTATCCAGAGTAGAGAATACGATAAACGAAAAGGCCGAACTAATATGTGCACAAGTTGTTAGTAAACATTTATCAATCACAAATCTATTTGTTATTGACTGAGTTTTATTATTGAAATTGCATAGATCTTTCATCATGGTTTTCGAAATCCATTTTCAAGTTTTCCGACAGGTATAAATCTTATTATTTTATTAATAAAGAATTTATTTGTATTAGTTTGTTAATTTGTGTTTATAGATCCATGGAAAGATAAAAAGCATTTTATCGGTGGATTTGGAGCACTTTTAAACGTATTGTATTGCAACAACTTATGTATAATAATTGAATTGCCAATCGATAATTTTATTTTGCTTTAAAACAGTTTCATCACTTTTATTGTTTAATTTTTTGTTCAATGTTTTAGAGTGGAAAACAGCAACAATACGAACTGGGCAAATATTTGCGAAGAAGATATCTTCTTGGAAATGAACGAAACATAAACAAGATGGTTTATGTTCAAAGTAAGTGTTTAAGAAGATCTCTTTGATTGCAAATGGTTAAAATCCATGCATTCTACAGGCATTGATGACGAACGTAGTTTGATGAGTGCCGAGACGGCGATGGCTGCTTTTAGTTTAACCGATGTTAATAATAGTTCGAGTGAGCATTTACAATGGCAACCAATTCCAGTGCACACAATTCCACAAGAAAATGATTACATTTTGGTTGGAACAAAGTCATGTGCTCGCTACAATCATGCGTATAAAATGTACAAAAAATCTACCGAATATAAAGCATTAATGAAAAAATCAAAGATTTTATATCAGTACTTGGAGAAACATTCGGGAAAAGAGATGAAAAATCTTCAATCCGTTCACAACCTTTACGATACACTCCGAATTGAAAATTTACAAAATAAAACGTAAGAGATTCCAGATTTTGTCGTTGAAATCGTTCTTCTATTTTCATTATAATTTGAATGTGGTATTCTGATTAGTATGCCAAAATGGACTCAAAAGGTGATTGCACAGCCTGAATATGAATCGATTGCGGTACTGTCACTAATCCGCGGCACTGAAACACCCGAAATGGCGCATTTGAGTTCGGGCTTTTTAATACGTGAAATATTAGAGCGTTTCAAAGAAAAAATCAAATCAACCTTGGTGCCGGATCGTTCACTTTTCTTCTATTTTGCAAATGATGCAACAATCGCTCGTGTCTTAAATGTTCTCGGACTATTCGATGTAGGTACATTTAGTTGATTTTATTCTTCTACTTTCATCTATATTTCTTTTCCCATTTAGTTCTATATTGTGCCATTCGCAGCGAGTCTTCATTTTGAATTGTACAAGTCAAATGATGACCTTTACTTTCAAATCGTCTATAGAAATACAACAGAAGAAAATCCATTGCCCCTCGACATTCCAATGTGTGGAACAAAATGTTCGTTGGAAAAGTTTCATGAAATCTATGCAAAAATCATTCCAACTGCATCTTTTGAAGAAGAATGCCGAATTCCAACTGCTTTTGATGATTTTAAAAATGGAAGTAAGGATATCACGGTTTTTGTTTTGTTTGAATAACATAAATATTTGTTTTTTCTTCAAGGCCTAGTTTTGCTAGTGAGCCTATTCATGATTTTAACAGTCATTGCTGTCTTGTCATGGATAGTTACTCGGGAGGAAGCAGACCCTGAATGAATTCAACGTGGAAAAAATTCAAATCAATAAATTTTAAAAATGTGATTTAAAAAATACACTTTTTGCAACCGATTGGTATATATAATATTGCTCAGCGCTGCTGCCATCCACAGTATGTTAAAATATCTTCATCACAGTGAACAACAATACATGCATTGTTCTCTATACAATCGTTTTAATGTTTTGACTTTTGAGTCACATAATCGTGAAGAGAACAATGCATGCATTCTTGTTTGCTGTGATGTATAAACTCCTACGTACATTCGCATGCGACGGACGACGCATTCTCAGCAAGATATTTTAATATGCTGTGAATGGCAGCAGCGCTGAACAATACTCTGATTTTAATTGATAATTCAAATATTTTCCGAATTAATTGGGATCCCAATATTTAGTCAGATGATTTCAATATTGAGCATAATTTTTATTTGCAAAAAATCTATATTTTCTTCGAATTTTTTTTTACTGTGATTAAACAGACATTTATGTTTACTTATTCAATCTGGTAAAAATATCATTAATAAACAGTTTATGTATCATAATTTTGTTAAATTGAAATCTAACCAAAGCATATGCCAAAATATACTAAAAATGCAAAAAAAACCAATTCTATATAATGTGAACTCTGTATAATTACCTGTACTGTTTTCGAATAATTCCTTTATCTTCTCAAAATACAATTTCGAAGTACAATAGTAACAATTTCTAAGTGAATCGTAATAAAATCCGCCTGAGTTAATCAAACAACATCGTTATTTATTTAACATGAATCGAATTTAGATGTAATCATTCCAAAAAATAATTGGCAAATGCTGTGGTTTTGGCAAAATGTGTGCAAATGTTTGAGTAGCTGATTTTCTAATAAATTTGTTGTTCACCTATTATATCACATTTATAGAATTTGAGATTACTAGATTTTATCAATATTAAGCATTAAATTCTGCTTGTATTCATTGAAACTTAAGATTTTCCAATGTTGTCTTTCGTCCTTTAAATTGCATGGTGTTACGATCACCATCCAAAGCTCAGTGGCCAAACACAAGCCCGTTGCGATGTGGACAATTTGGTTTTTCTAAATAAATAATAGAAAATGATTGAATAAAAAGTGGAATATCAATTTAAAATGAGCAAAGTAAAAGATTCTTACTGCTTGGTCATATAACCATTTGTTGCCGTTGTTTGCATCACACTGTAGAAGAACTACATGTTTTGTTTCTAGAAGGAATTGTGTTTCATTTTTGAATTCATTTTCCGAAGTTGTTAGAGTGTCGGTGACATTCAAGATCGTGCTTGACGCAACGGTTTCATTCATTGTTTCTTGGCGACGACTCAAACACAATGTGGGATGAAAAACGATTTGATGATTATTTTGGTAACTAAATGCCTGGCTGTATCCATTGCCATGGCACATATAGATACCAATTTGATTGTTTAAACCCCGGCCCAATCTATCTAAACAGTATTTTGACCCCAATCTTTGAATTTGGCCAATTTTCTTTGGTTTGGTGACCATCACGCTTTCAGGGAAAACATTTTTCATATACCAATGGAAGTTCTTACATTTTAGATTCTGACGAATGGCAAGCCGCTTGCTTACGTCACCAGCTTTGATTTTTCTCAAAAGTGCTAAAAAAAATCGTTACAATTGAATGAATGATAAGAAAAAAAAATATGAAAATACTAATTTTTTATATGAAAATCGACATACGCGATATAAGAGAATCGAAGAAAGCTAAGTACTCGTCCATCCAGACTTCAGCTGTTCGAAGATTGTTATAAAGAAGAATCTCTTCTTTTTCGGCATTGAAAGAAAATGGTAACGACCTGAAATAATGACCAATTCGAGAGCATGGCAAAATCTCCACGGCTCCCCCGCACATCCATACCTTTAAATTTGAACGAAACACATAAAATCAAATTGGAAATATTTTGCAATCACAATGTCTCACTCGCAGAGATAGTTCGGTGCTTTCGCCTCCGTAAATATTCATTTCAGCATCAAATGTGCCAATTTCAAAGAAAAATTCACGGTCTATAGCAAACGCGCATCCGATGAGAACGGGTGTTCGATAAGGGGCATTTTCATCACCACGATTTCTGATCGTTTCACGTTTTGGTTTTGGAAGTCTACGGATAAATTACGTACAATATGAACAATATATTTTCATCAAGTGAATGATTGAATACGAACACTTCGACATGCAAATTCCAACCAATTCCATATATAGGACTCGTGTGATATGTGTTGTAGGCCATTGATGTTGGATTAATTTGATCGATATGCGGAAGAGCGACAACCGATCGATCACTTGCAATCCGAGACAATAAAGGTTCCATCCAACCGTCATTGGCTTCCGTATTTGCGTCCATAAAAATTAACACTTGCCCCTGTACAATCAAAATCATGTATCTACTTGTCTAAATCATCCAAAAACTGTCTTTAAAATACATACTCGCGCATTTTCTGCCCCTATCAATCGTGCCCGAATCACACCTTCTCTTTTATCCATTTTTATGAGCTTCACTTTTGGCAATCCACTCAAATATTTTTCAAATGATTCTTTCAAATCAGCTTTATCGCTGAAATCATCTACCAAAATCACTTCCTCGAGTAATTCATCCGGAGATCGATTAATCACACTCAAAATGGCCCTTTTTAAAATGGACAACGCTTCATTATGAAAGGCAATCACCACACTTGCCGTCGGTAATACACTTGGATATGTGATATCTATACATTTTGGATCACGATAATCAGGCAACGAGCGATTTGGTGTAACTCTATTGCTTGCCACAATATTTATTTCATATTCACTGTACGCATCTGACAAATCTTCCAATATTGGAATTATAATAGGTTTACCTAAAATCAAAATACGCAAACATATAGAAAAAAATTCAAAAATTCAACTTCGACATAAAATTAACCTTCGTCTCCTGGTCGAGAATTTGAAATAATTTTCTGTTTCGGAGAGTATTTCCGAAGATCGTACATGTGATAATTTTTTGTAATTTGAAATGGCCATCCAGGACGAAGTCCATCCTCATTATAATCCAATAAATCGCTTTGCACAATTATTTCACTTCTCCAGAAACTAACATTTCCAGCGAATAAACTGTATAACATTTTTAACACGAGTAAAACAATAACGATTCGTATGCATAATATTTTAATCCGTTGTGCGTCCGGTGATCGAAGCAATCTTCGCTTGAAAATCATATTCGAAATTATTCACGGTGAAACTAAGACTAATTTAGATATGATCAAAGTGTGAATTTTAACTGAAATCGTCTAATACAAATGTCATCTCTTTTATAAGATCCGATAATGATGAAAATAAATCTCACAGAAAGCACAGCTATTTGATCAGATGTTTTTTATTTGGTTTTAGTGTCATTTGTTTGGTTTTTATTTGGTGCGAATTCAAATGTGTAAAGGAGACACACTTGCGATAGAAATAGACATTTTTTATAGCTTAAGACTAGAGAGTAGAAAACACCGCTTACTAATACTATAAATAGTTACTATTTGTCACCCGGTACGACTTAGGCATATATCTGTCCCCTTAGCTACAAACAGCCACCTGGCGTATTTGGGTCTTCGAAGACTGCATTATTAAACAAGAGGCTTATGACCAATGCGTGTAATAAGAACTCTTTGCCGCAAATGTTTGTTGACATTTTTCAGAAGCACACTTCACTCTCTGAACACTTTTTGCATGTAATTTTTCATGCCTTTTTACAATAGCAACACAAAAAAAAAAACATTTGGTTTTATACAATTTAAAATATAATGGACAAGTTTTTATTTACAATGATTATTTTTTAGCCCGCCTAGCTGTCAAAGCAATGTTATGGATAGATGACACATATATATGTGTCAGATATATCTGACCGCCAGGTGGCTGTTTGTAGCTAAGGGGACAGATATATGCCTAAGTCGTACCGGGTGCTATTTGTACACATTTTGATTGTGTGTCCACCACAGTTGTTGCGAATTCTAATATGAAAAATGTCACACTTTGTATTTAGAATCTACATTGACATGGATTTTTGATCTTATATTTATTTTTCTTGGAACTCTTAACGGTTTTTTTTTAAAGATGAAAAAATGCAATTGAAAACAAAGAGTGACATCAACTGGATTTTTCTACAGTAATATTTCCCATTATATCAATGATTTCACTTGTTCTTTGGATTCAAACAGTATTTATCAATAAATAATGATAAGATGTATTGGCGCTCTTGAGTACATTTCAAAGTAATTTATTACAATTTATTTCACAAAATAGCAGACATAGACATTATATTGAGCTGACTATCTATTTGAATTAATTTATTTACTCAACGTAGAAGCGCAAAACAGTTCTATTTCGGTATTTTGGATGTCTCTATTTGCGATTTCACGTTGAGAATCCAAATTATTGTTGTCACACAATCCAAAATATCCCATTTAGCGTACTATTTCTTCTCATTTCAAATCAATAGTCAGTTTAGCATACGAAATCTATCACAAAATCTATTTTTTAAATATTAGCAGACATTTTTTATGTCACTCAGTGCTTATACCTGGAGTATTTCAATGTGAACAGTTTATTGATTAAAGTTCAAGTCGCTTATATTTATAAGATAAGAGAATAATATCGATGACAGACATAATTATAAATAAAATCAGTCGCCTATATCGTCGCGGTTGCACTGGATTTTTATAGATTTGTTTTTCGTTTGGTTAGACAGTGTATTTTGTTTCGTGACTACAAGTCGTTACTTTATACTTTCTGGTTATCGTGATCCATGACCACGACTTCTATAGTCTGATTCCATTCTAACATATTTTGGATATTGTTCGATACACTTAAGCTTTGTACATTGATGAAAAACATCATGTTTTACGTTGTAGTTCTCTTAATGTTGTGCCTACAACTTGCATCGAGTAAACCATACAATAAATCTGAAAGCAGTGAATTAGTATTTGCACATGTTGTGAGTAAAGTGAAAATGTTTAATCGAAAAACTTCTTGATTGCAACTTTTATTTTAAGATTTTTCGTCATGGCCAGCGTAATCCACTGATTACTTATCCAAATGGTATAAAAATCTCTTCATTCCTTTTTCGAATAGAAATTTCTTTTGATTATTTTGTTTACCTGTGTTTATAGATCCGTGGAAGGATGAAGAACAATTTTGGAAAGAAGGTTTTGGATAAAATAAAGAAAAAATCCATAATTTTAAAATTTCTAATTTTATTTTTATTTATTTTTTTCATTTATGTATTAGGTTATGGACAACTTATCAACGTAAGTTTGACCATGAACTTTTAAACATATTGTAGTGCAATTGAGATCCAATTATTATGAAAAATTGATCATGGACGTAATTTTTACATCTTTAGGCTGGAAAACAGCAACATTATGAGTTAGGAAAGTACTTGCGTAAGAGATATATGGCACTTCTTGAAAATGGATCATATTCACCAAAAATCGTGTACATTCAAAGTAAGTTTGATAAAATTCAAAAATAACAATGATCGCAAAAACTGATAATATTTTGCAGGCACTGATGTTGATCGAACTTTGATGAGGTGAGTAAAAATTGCAAGTAAAAAAACATATAGAACTGATCACATGATCATCATATCATATAGCGCTGCATCGAATTTGGCAGGCTTTTTTCCTCCCAAAGGAGATCAAATTTGGAAAGATGATCTCTTATGGCAACCCATTCCCATCCATACCATTCCCACAAGTTTGGATTATGTTTTAAATGCCGAAGCACCTTGTCCGCGATACGAACAAGCTTTGAAAAGATACGAACAGACGCCGGAATATCAAAATATTTTCATAAAATATAAATGGTTGTTTGAATATTTAGAGAATAATACGGGAATGCCAATTAGCACACTAATCGATGTTCAATATTTGAACGATGCTCTTTGGATCCAGAATATAACGAACAAAGCATTGCCAGAATGGACGAAGAAAGTTTTCATTCCGGGTGGTGACATGGAAAAGTTGTCTAACATTTGCTATACAACCAATACAAGTACACCGGAATTGGCTCGTTTAAAAGCCGGATTTTTATTCCGTGAAATTTTGGATCGTTTTGACGACAAAATTGAATCGAATTTGGACCCTAACCGAAATCTCTGGTTGTATTCCGCACATGATTCAACAATCGCTAGCTTTTTGAACAGCATTGGGTTGTTTGAGGTGAGCACTCATTTTTTACTTCGTCAAACAAATTCTTCTTCGAATGATATGTTTGTTTCAGTTGCACACTCCACCGTATGCAGCCAGTCTTATGATCGAGTTATACAAGGAAAACGATGCATTTTACTTTCAAATATTCTACCGAAAATCAAACGATGATATTTTATCACCGCTACATATTCCGAAATGTGGCCAAAAATGCTCGATTAGAAAATTTCGCGACGCATACAAAGAAATCATTCCAACCGATAGTTATGAAAAAGAATGCGGACTATGATACACAGCAATGAAATCCCTACCTAAGAGCTAGATGGTGGCGATAGTGGTGATTGGATTTTTTAATTTATTTGAACGACGCCATGTTACTATTCTTGTCCATTTTAACGTACATGTTACAGAAGATACACACAGTCCTAGTGGACAGTAATCATTTGAAGAATATTTGCAACCGTCAATGTGAACTAGATCGAATTTGCAAACATACGATGAAAATGACTTACAAAGTGTGTTTCAAAATCTAGTTCAAAATACTATCACTGATGTCGACACCATTCTTACTCAAAATTTTGACATCAAAAACATTTTTTGTTGTCGTTTCGTTGCTGCGTTGTGATTTAAAATTTTGTATTGCAATAAATATTTATATTATGTGCTATTTTTTTTTCTTAAAAAACTGAATAAAAATGGAATGTAATCAAATATGAGAATTTGATTTTCGACAATATTTCAATTTCAGAAAGTTACATCGAAACAATTTTTAATTAGTTTTTGATTTGCTCAGGATTTTTACGCTATATCTTGAAATAATGCATGAGTGCAGTATCAAAAACAAAAAAATAAATCACAAAGAAACAAAATATGAGATCGAAACATTGAATCATCATTGAAAATGTTTATGTCTTTATGTTTTTATTAATAACGTGTATGAATTTTTGCCATCAAAATTAAATGAATATACGAATTGGAGCGAAGTGCAACTTCATCTGCAAAATAAAAATCGATATTGAATGTAGCAAAAATATTTTTGAATGATTCATTCTAAGAGAAGACTTTTAAGATAAGTAAAAAATCAACACACTTTCATTGCTGTTTACGAAAACTGATGATGTGCGAAAAATATTGTTTGTTTAAATGAAATTGTTTTATTTTGTTTAAACAAGTTTTATTCACTGTTTCATATATTGCTATCAGTATCCGTAAGATAAGAAAAAGTATAGTTGGCTATAACAGTCATATGAGTGACATTATTTTTCGCACATCATCAGTTTTCATAAACAGAATGGATCCAATTACAAGTGTTTTTATTTTTGACTTATCTTCAAATCAATAGCGTTTTCATTTGCATTGAATGAAGTAGCTATAAAAGGGCCACAAATTTAATGAATAAATCAAAAAAACCATATTCATTTCATTGGTCCCAGTATATTTTGGACTTTCGAACACCACGTATTCAATTGAATATCAATTGATGTGTGTAAAGTAATGAAGCACAGTATTATTTGTGACCAAAAATAATTGCAGTGTTCTAATTAAAGTTGTAAAAAAGAAATATTTGTGATTTATCGTATTATATTGATCAACATTTCGGAAAGGAACAATCATTAACGATGCCATTTTTGAATTGGTAATATTTTAGTGTAAATTTCAAAATTATCACTTTCTGATCAAATTTTATTTTGTGATTCGATAGGTGTAAAAATAAACGGTATATGTGTGTTGCTTTGACGCTTTTGCTTTTCATTGGAATCACTTCGGTCATTGTATTGAACGAATATTCAAACGAAAAGCCAGAGTATATGGGTGAGACATGTAGTACGGATGCTTGTCACCAAACCGCTGAAAATTTGTTTAGATCAATGGATTTTAGCGTGGATCCATGTTCTGATTTCTATCAGTTTACCTGTGGCAATTGGAACAAAAAACACCACAGGTATCAATAGCATATGTTCAACGTGTTAACTTATTGCAATATATTTTCAATTATTTGATCTCGTTTCAAGGCCTAATTACATGGAACTCTTCAATGGCCTATTCGAAGGTCAATTCAATGTATTTAAACAGTTGCAAGATGTAATTGAAGCTAATGAAACGGCAAACGACCCGGAATCTGTAAAGCAAAGCCGAATTTTTTATCGAACATGTATGAACACCGGTGAGATTGTTATGGTTTTATCAACAATTTTTATTGAAGAAATTGAGTGAAAATATGCTATATTTCCAGAACAAATGGACGCATTGGGACTAAAGCCAGCCCTTCAATATCTTCGATCTTTCCATTTACCCAATTATCCTTCGGTTACCCTTGAAATGTTTCAGTCGAATGCATCGAATGCAAATTTCGATTGGATTGAATCAGTAGCGGAAATTAAGAAAGTAACGGGCGTTGATATAATTATTGGTTTTTCATTCCTACCGGATTTTAAAAACCATTCAATATCGAAGATACTATTCAGTATGCCGTCACAAAAGTCAATTTTTGAAGTGTAAAGATCCACGACAAATATTTTGTGTGTGTATTGAAATGATATTAATTCTTTTTTTTTCTATTTCAGTGAAAAAAATATCGAAATGATTCGTAAAATAGAAAAATTTGCGGATTTTATGAAAAATGTTGTAATCGAGTTTGCTGTTGCATCAAATCAAAGAATTCCCAAAATGATATTGGATGACGTAAAGATTTTTAAAATTTTTCAAATGGAGGCCACGTTTTCAAAGGTTTGGATTAGAACTGGCCATTGTTGCTCCCTTCTGAGATTTTTTTTTTGCGTTGCCATAATTCCGAATTCTTGTGTTTTCGTGAAAGTGTTGACAGTTGTCGTAAAAATACCCAGTTATATACTGTATTATCAATTTCTTTTATACTTTTGGACGTTCAATTTGATACTCTCACCTAATCTCTCTCTCTCTCTCTCTCTCTCTTTCTCTCTACTTTCAGTATGTATCATACACAGTGTATAAAAGACATGCGGTAATTTTAATTTATAGCTAAATAAACGAAGAAAAACTTTCACGATCACACAAAAATTCGAAATAATGGCAAAAAAAAAATCAAAAAAAGGGAGCAACAATGTCCAGCCCTTGGTTTGGATTAATGTTTCATCGACATAAATCAATAATGTTAATTTTTCATTTCCACATATCACAGTTTCAATTGGAGGCAAAATCTATGTCATATTTTGAGAATATTAATTTCTCATCGAGTGAATTCAAAACTGAAATCGATCAAATGGTGAATCAGTACCTTAAAACCATGTTTAGGAACATCGATCCAAATTTCAACGCATCTGACTATAAAATATTGAAATTTACACACTATTTACACAATGTAATGAAATACATTTCTACTTTATCAAAAGTCGACATGGAAAATTATATTTGGTGGAAAGCTGTAGAGCAAATGATACCACTTACTACGACGAAAATTAAAAAAATGCATGACGAAATAATGAAAATATTTACAGAAAATGAAGCAAAACCGAAATGGTTTATTTGCTCGTTGCTTACCAATAAATTGTTTGGTATGGCTTTAAGCCATTATCTTGTCAAACCGACTTTTATCAATTCAACCGAATACAATACTACATTAGAAATGGTATCCAATATCCGATCAACATTCCATAATTCAGTCAACGATATTGATTGGATTTACAATGATACAAAACAAATTATATTTGAAAAAATGGATGCAATTGAATCATTTTTGGCGTTTCCCGAGTGGATTTTTGACAGAGAAAAGTTGGACGAATATTACGGTGAATTGAATTGTAGTTCAACGAATCATTTAGAAAATGTATTTGAAATTCATGCAATGATGATGGAAAACGAGTTGAAAGCGTTGAAAACACCTGAATTAAGAAAAGATTTTGACTACGATATAAATCCAACAACTGTTAATGCAGCTTATAATCCCTTCAACAACCGAATCAGTAAGATTTTATTAATATAATTTTTTCGTACTTAACTAGTTACAATAAAAATGTAAAATAATTTATTGCAGCAATTCCATGGGCTATGTTGCAGTATCCACTCCATAATTTGGGCTTGGAGTAAGTTTTGTATGCTTTCATATGAGATTTTTTTTTATTGATAATCATTTATTTTTGCGTAGAGTTTTGAATTATGGTGCATTGGGATCGACTGTCGGTCATGAATGGATCCACGGTTTTGATAACAACGGTAAACTATACTCTTCGTATCATTTTCCAATTAACGCAAAACGTTTTCTTTTTTTTACACATTTCAAGGGCGATATTTTGATAAAGATGGAAATTTTGATTCATGGTGGCCAACTGATGTGTCTGATGAGTATACTAAACGAGCAAAATGCTTCATCGATCAATACAGTTCTTTCTATATGCCTGAAATTGAAGGATATGTATGTGATCTTTCATTATTGGTTCATAAACACGATTAATTTGCGTATTATTGTCATTTTTAAATAGGTCGATGGGGAACTTTCGCTAAACGAGAATATCGCTGATAATAGTGGATTACGCATCGCCTACTATGCATACAAAATGTACGTCAAACGAAACGGCAAAGAGAAACATTTACCCAAATTCCAGAGATTCACAGACAACCAACTCTTTTTCATATCATTTGGAAATGTAAATATTATATTGCCGAATTGAGTTACATTTATTAACATTTCTTTAATATTTCAGCGTTGGTGTGATGCTCCAACGCCACGGGGACTAAGTATTAACCAAAATGACGAACATTGCCCAAATAAATTCCGTGTCGAAGGTGTTTTATCTAATTCCGTTGAATTTCGAAATGCATTCAAGTGCAGTAAACACTCAAGAATGGTTTCCAAAAGCCCATGTCGTGTATGGTGACTAGAATTAACACAAAACTAATAAAAAAACATAAGTACTTTTACATTATTGTTAAAACTTTTTTGTATTTAATTTTCATATTTTTTTTACTTGTAACCAAATCGATACAAATTCATTTTGATAAATAACAACTTGAGAAATGATTTCAATATATGACATCAATAAAATGTAACAATATCATTTACATTGGCCCTACTGAGAAAATGGTAGCTTAAAAAAAATATGTTTAAATTTTGGCAATGGACAGTATTAATCAGTAGAGCTTGATAAAGATCTGCATAGCTCCATAAAATGGATCATCACTTTATGCTTTTTCAGTTATTATAGAGGCAGACTTTTGTGAAAATGCTAGTGCTTTTGATTTTATTTTGCCTTGGAATTGTAGCATTTGAGTCAAAAATACCAACAAAAACAATGAAGCCGAATTAAAACTTCTCCATGTTGTACGTTAGGCCGGATCGATTCATGAAATGTTGAAAATGACATCTTGTTATCGATTTGTCTTGTCATTCATTGGCCCGAGAAAAACGAATCTGGCGTTTTTTTGCGATTTAATGTCATTTGATGTTATTTGGTGTGTCAAAAGTGATTTTTTTTGTCAAAAATGACCATACTTCGGAACAAAACGCAAAATAAAGGCCATTTTTGGAATCAGCGTGCAAAAATACATTAAAAATGAGTTTTTTAAAAATTCAGTGTGTGAATTTTTCGGAATTTTTATTGGGCCCCTTTATGACAAAAATTTGATTTTGCGAAAGATCGCTATCTTCTCGGATTTGTAGGTCTATTTCATTGACACGCAATACAAAATAATGTAAAAATAAGACATTTAAAAATTAAAAAAAAAATCAAAAAAAATTCAAATTTGAAATTTTTTCTTTTCAATTTTTGATGGAAATAAATATATTTTACAAATTTTATTTTAAAAAAAAAAAAAACATACCGCGTTAATTTGAAGTGAATTGAAAGCAAAAAATCGTGATCAATAGCAAAATTCTGATCATGTATGACAATTTTGGTGAAATTTTTGTATGTTTTGTCAGTAACTTCGGTATGAATTGTCATTTCTGGGGGAAAATCGGGCGTTGAATCCGAATCAAGATTTAAAAATGAGCTACCGTCTGTGAAAAACCACAATTTCCTCGAAATTTTGTGAAAAATTGGTTAAAAAGTGCATTTTTTGGGTTGATTGATAATTTTTGATATTTTCAAGGCCAGATTCGGATTCAGCGCAAAAAAATACCCTAGAAATGATGGTGAATTCGATTCAAAAAATATCTGCTTCATACACTTTTTTTCGTTCGAAAGTCAAAAAATGACCCAAAAAATGACATTTTAATTACAATTTTAGCCAGCCGGTCCGAATTATTTTTTTCTATCTAATGATGCAAGTTGGATAGTTTTGGTCTATAATTTATTTTAAGCACTTGAAGGCAATGATCCAACATGTTTGAGAGATTTGGGCCACCCTAATGAACATAATTCTTGAAAAAAGTAATATATTGTCATTATAAAGTTATCAGACCAATATGAATATTGAAGTTGAAGAAAATCAAGAGATTATCGTATCACCTCAGAGCAGGACGGTGCATACGGGAAGAAATTATGCCACACCATTTCACTCATACACTAACATATGACGCCATAAAAAACATAAATACATAGAATAAATCATTATGAATTGGATATATTTAATATAAGAGTATTTTGCCTTAATTTCCGAGTGCGTTTAAATGTTGTTTGCGTATTGTTATTGATAAAGTTTGTCAAACTGAAAAACAGTACCGCTTTGGGATCGAACCAGGTAATGTGAAGCTTATATCGAAGTTGTTTCAATGTCAGAATTGGCTTGCTTATATTCAGACCAGTTAATCTGTTGTCTGAATGTTGTCTTGAACGTGAAAAATTGACTGGTTGACAGCACTGCTAATAAGTCTTTGAATTAATCTGAAACTATTTTTTTCTTAGTTCCAAATCGTCAATATTTCTGTCAGTCTTCATGTAGACAAATTGCACGATCAGTATTATTTGCAAATATTCTATAGAAATGAAAATGAGACTCTATCACCGCAAAATGGGCGATTCTATCACATTCATTTCTACTACAAATGTTGGTGAAGAATGTTGAGTAAATGAATATGAACACAGAAAAAAAAACACCGGATATTAAAGTCATGAAATGTTTTTATATAAAATTACATGCTTTACAATTCTTGCACACTATCAATTATATTGAAAACAAAAATCAATTGTCAAACCACGACATTGAAAATTCGTCGTCAATTCGTCGGTTTTCCTTCATTGATTCATTGAATAATGAGCATGTCGTCAACGTGATTATATCAACGTCAACGTCTTAATAAATAATATTAACGTGAAAAATATGCTTAATTGCATCAGATTTGGACAAGCACAAGCAATTAATAAAATTGAAACGTTTGCGATATTCAATCTATTGTTTTGATATACGTGATGAATTCAATATAAATTATTATTGTCTCATGTGCAGAAAAGGTTTTTATTTTCAATTCACATTGATTTCATAGAATATACTAAAAAAAAATATTTTAAAAAATCCAAACAATTCGGTGTTTTCTCCTTTTTTTATATCAACTATTATCGATATCGATTTTGAATCAACTTCATTTGCAGCGTCACCGTTCATCGTGTATTTTGATGAAAATCTCTCACAATAAACAATAATTATTTAAAATGCTTTGCATCATTAGATTCATTACAGCAATTGTTTTAAGTGAAATTTACGGCTTTTATATGAAAATGAAATGAGTTACTGATTAAAAGAATGTTATGAATGAACTGAGTGTTGCAGTTTGAATCAATCGCATGCCGAGCGTGCGAACACGATTTGAAGGGCCTCATTAATAGACATTATTATTCTATAGAGCGATATCTGTTTTGTTTTATCGTTTTCGTCAAGGTTTTTGTGTGTTACTCTTTTATTCACGAATTCAATCAGTCACTGGCTCTGTGCGGTCGCAAAAAAGAAACGTGTGCATTAAAATTGCGTAAACAAGTCTGCTGTCAGCTGGTTAAATTGTCGCACACAAAAGTTCATTCTACGAATCAGTTTTGTCGACACATTCAATTTTATCCACAGGTGAAAAAACATTTGTAATCATTCACCACTCGGCCGTAATACAAAACAGCTTTTAATTTCTTACCGGTTAACGATTTTGGATTTTCATGTAGATCAGTCGTGGCTCTGACCTTATCAATTCAATAACATTCGAAAATCAACGTTTCGTGTACTATGTTTTGGAAAATCGTGGTGGTTTTGTTTTCGGTATTTGTATTTTCAACGGCAAAATCGTCAATTAGAAGGAATCAAAGTGCATATTCGGATGAACCACAATTAATATTTGCGCATGTTGTGAGTATTTCACAAATTTTTGATTTAGTGTATTTTTTTAAAAGTAACGAAAAAGTATAACAAATTATTTGTGAACAAGTTTTTTTTTTGATTTATTTGCCTAGAATCTGAAACAATTCCATATTATCTTTTTAAATTAATTTAATGTCTTCTAAAGATACATCGCCATGGCGATCGAAATCCAATACGTAGCTACCCGAATGATCCGTGGAAGGATGAAGAACAATTTTGGGAAGAAGGTTTTGGATAAAATGAAGAAAAAAACGAATCTTAAATCTAATTTTCATTTTTTTATTTATTTATTAGGTTTCGGACAACTGACCAACGTAAGAATGTGAACGAAATATAAGGGTAACATGAACTTAATTTAATTTGATATATTTTTTTTATAGATTGGAATCAATCAAGAGTATGAATTGGGTACATATCTGCGAAAACGATATGCATCCCTTCTTGGAGACGGCGGTTATTCCAACGATAATGTCTATATTCAAAGTGAGTGTACAGTGAATGTGTTTTTAAATGTAAGAGAAATAAAATGTGGTTTTTTTAGGCACTGATGTAGATCGTACTTTGAATTCAGCACAAGCTGTTGCGGCTGGCCTTTTTCCACCTGAAAACGATCAAATTTGGAATGCAGGTACTTAATTAAAATAATTGGCAATAAATTCATAATTTTAAGGTATTTTCAAACGCGATTATTCGCTAATTTCTTGTTTCGTTGAATTGTTCGATTCATAAAACAGATTTACTTTGGCAACCGATACCGATTCACACAATTCCAAAAGAAATGGATCACGTATTATACGCTGGTCGGCCATGTTCACGTTATCAACGTGCAATGCGAAAACATTTACAGTCTTTAGAATACACGACCCTCATGGCAAAACACAAACAATTGTTTGATTATTTGCAAGAGAATGCCGGCATTCAAATTCACTCACTAGATGACGTCGACATTTTATACAATACCCTCTGGATTGAGCAATTAAAAGAAAAATCGTGAGTTAAATTTTTTTAATTCATTTTTGATGGAAAATAGTAAGATTTTGTCATTAATTTTATTTGAAATGATTTTCAAATTGATAATTTTCAGACTGCCATTTTGGACGGATGAAGTTTTTCTGCCTGGCAGTGATTTTGAAATGCTTGCATATCTCAATTTCCGATTGGCCACCAATACAACTGAAATGGCACGTTTAACTGTCGGCTTTTTAATTCGTGATATTCTGGATCGGTTTTCAAGCAAAATTGAATCAACATTATTGCCAAATCGTTCTCTACATATTTACTCGGCACACGATTCAACGATTGCGAATTTTTTAAATGCAATCGGTTTATTTGAGGTAATTTCTCTTTGTGATTTATAAAATAAAGTTCATTTTGAAATGCTGATGAAAATCTGTTTAATACTTATAGTTGCACAATCCGCCATATGCATCAAGTCTTCACATCGAATTATACAAATTGAACGCTGATCACTACATGCAAATATTCTACCGAAATTCATCAGACGAAAATCTACAGCCACTGGAAATTCCATTATGTGGACAAAATTGTTCATTGGAAATGTTCAGAAGTATTTATAGTGAAATAATACCAACCGAAACATTTGAAGAAGAATGCGAATTACCATTCTATTTGGAAATCTTGGAGGGAAGTAACATTTGTATATCAAACGAATGTAAGTGATCATTTTTACCAACTGCTTTTGAGTGTCAACTTAACAGAAAATATTCATTCTACTTTTAGGGTTCGTCTCAATAATGTGTTTCGTGGTAATGTTACCAATTATGATAATTGTGTTATGGAGAGTATCTTCGAGCAAGAGAGGGAATATCGCTTTGGAAAATGATAATAATAATATGAAATATCTATAGCGAATTTCAGTACAAAATATTCATGCAGTTTCTTTAACAATAGAACACATTCGGTTCTATATAAATTTCAGCCATTGTCATTATTACATTTAAGCATTTAATTTCGTGTTACTAACTATCCCGTAGTTCTAAAAATAGTCACCGAACGGTGTTTTGAAGTACTGATCCTGCATTTCGTCATGCACTTATACTCGAACTAATAATAACGTATTTGCAATAAATTTGTTGTTTTTAAATGAAATTGACAATATTTTCGTTTATTTAAAAAAAATCGATAAAATTTCGATTGTCGTCAAGCAATATGTCAAAAATGTGTGTGTAAAATTCTTTAAAAAATCGTTATTTTAATTTTTTTTTAACGTACAAGTCGCATTCGTGGCAGATGTGTTTGGGTTTGGTTCGGATTCCAGTCAACAGATGTCACATGTTTCGTTGCTACACACTAGTTGATATCGATTATGCGTGTGTATTTGTGAAGAAAACAAAACGCATTCACACACAGCTGGCCTTACTATTGCCATTTCACTTGGTGTACAGTCCAACAAGCATGCAGAGAGATAAAACTCAAGTTGATAAGTAAAAATGTTCAGTGTGTATTGAACATATTGTTGTATCAATTGCCAAAACAAAAACCAAAGCAGAAAAAAATCATTGTTTATTACTCCAGTCCCGCATCACTTTTACGTTCAGTCTGAATTGTGGTGTAGTAGCAATATGTTCTCATTGCATTTATTTTAACATATTTACCAAAATTTTGTATTATTTTCATAAATTTCACATTGTTTCATGAATTAAAAAAGATTCCTTAAGTTTCACGCAAAATTACATAATGCTAGAGATTAGGAAATGCGTTGTGATTGTGTTATTATTGTGCGTTAATTCAATCAAGTGTGAAATCGATGATGGTTCGAAACAAGGCCAACTGGTTTTCGCACATGTGGTAAGTGAAATTTAATACTTTCCGTGTTCCGCGTATTGACTTTGAATGTGATTTTATGACAATCGGTGTTTTATATTTGTATTTTTGTTGTAAAGATTTACAGACACGGCGATCGCACTCCGGTAGACCCGTACCCAAATGATCCGTATAAGGACAGGAAATATTGGGAAGAAGGTTTGGGATGAAATAAATAAAAACTTAAATTCAATTTTAAATCAATTTTTTTTTATTTATTCATTGATTAGGTTACGGACAACTTACCAACGTAAGTTTGATCATGAACTTTGTTTTCACTTTATTTCGCCGTAGAAAAAAATGTGTAATTCAATCTCTTTGCGTATGTAATTTAGGTGGGAAAAGAGCAACACTACCAATTGGGTCAATTCTTCCGAAAAAGATATCGTAAACTTCTTGAAAATGGCAATTATTTACGAGATTTTATTTACGTTCAAAGTAGGTCAATTGTTTTCCTTATAAACACGATTTTTTTGATTAAATCTGAAATTGTTTTTTGTCAATAGGCACGGATGTAGATCGTACATTGATGTCGGCGGAATCGAATTTGGCTGGACTTTTTCCACCCGAGGGCAATCAAATATGGGATAATCAAATAAAATGGCAACCAGTTCCTATTCATACAATACCCGAACAACTGGATGGAGTTCTGGCGTCAAAACGGCCATGCGCACGATATACGATGGCCGCAAAGAAATACCAAAAATCACAAGAGTTTCAAGACTTGCTCAATAAGTACAAATCATTGTTTCAGTATTTAGAACAAAATTCCGGTACATCGATTAAAACGCTCGATGACGCACAGTATTTGTACAATACCCTCTGGATTGAAAATTTGAAAAATTACACGTGAGTCAATCGTCACATTTTTCATTTAATTGGATTGAAAATGTTTCTATATATGATTTCAGTTTGCCGGAGTGGACGAAAAAGATTTTCCCTGGCGGTGATTTGCAATGGGTTGCAGATCGGTCATTTCAAGTGCAGACGAATACACCCGAATTGGCTCGATTGAAATCCGGTTTTTTGCTTCGCGAAATGCTGGACCGTTTCGACCAAAAAATTGCATCAAAACTCAATCCAGATCGTGGAGTGTGGGTGTACAGTGCACATGACACAACCGTTGCCAATATTTTGAATAGTCTTCAATTGTTTGAGGTAAATCAGTTTGAACATAATCAACAATAATCAACTGCTTTATTTACATGTCAAAGTTGAATGGCGTTGACCGAACTTTGAACTCAATGCTTAAATTAAAATGACGATAAGAAAATTGAATTTTATTTATAGCCACCACGTAGTCCACCATATACAGCAACTGTTCTCTTTGAATTGTATAAGAAAGGCGATAGCTACTACATTGAAATTTTCTATAAAAATTCGACAAACGAGAATCTGTCGCCTTTGAACATGCCAACGTGTGGAGTGAGATGTTCAATAAGGGATTTTCGACGAATTTATGAGACTGTGATCCCAACGGAATCATTTGAAAAAGAATGCGAAGTATCACTATTGTCTTTGACTTATGAAGAAGTCGAATATCGTGGACTTGATGGAAGTAAGTTAACGATCACTTCATTATTCCATTTTTATAGCCTTTATTCACAAGAAACTAAATTGAAATATTGTAAATTTGTTTCTAGGTTGGCTTGCACTAACTTTGCTGTTGCTAGTTGTACTGGCAATTGTTCTCATGGCATGGAAAATGTTTCAACAAGAACGAAACATGAGATGGTACCACCGAATCTAAGACGCGCACTCGTAATCTCATCATTTTCAATTGATTTCACAAGATGCCATACATAAAAAAAACAACAACCAATTCATTTAAATCGGAGCTTAGATATTTTTTTTCATTATCAATGCGAGTCATACATTGTATAATTTTTCGTCAAATATGACTGTTACCACCGTTTATCAATTAAATATGTTTGTATAATATAATAGAAAATAACGTTTTTTTTCTTTTGATAAATAAATACTGTTATAACACTATATTTATAGCAATGATAAAAGTGAATAAAAATTCAAGACAACCGTTTATTTTCACTCTTGATCTTTATTTGTCGTTACTTGATAATTACAATTTAAACATCAATAAGACACTTATGGAATGGACTTTTACATATTTGCTCAAAATTTGTATAAAAAAAAACTATATTCATCTTATCTCAAACCATTCACCTCAAAAGAGGTGGATACGAATATACGAGATTCATTCATTGAACACTGGACGGATTCAATCTATATGTCGTTCAACGATTAGGTGAACAGATTAAAAAAAACTGGAGTACTTTTGCATTTTGTCGATTTAAAACTTATCTTATGTCTAATGTAAAATGTAAGTCGATGGCATTACAATATTCGACGCGATACTGTAAGTTTGATGGTTTTAAATGGACGGAAATCGATATTTTTTCAATTTTTGAATTTTTACCACTAACGAACGACGAATATGAATTTTTCAAATTTAGCAATCTCTAAATTTTGTTTGGTGTGATTTAAGGCAACACATTTCTTAGTAGAACAACTAAAACTGGTAAGGACATTGCCATCGTCAATGTGAGCGGTAACAGAATCGTTGAGGAACTACGAACAAAATCCCAATTGAATACTTTGATGAAATTCTCGTTATTTGACCAAGGATATGAGCCATCATCGAAATACATCGGACATTGATCACCTGAAAGAAAATCATTTTTGTTAACAGAAACGTAGTGACAACGAAGGCACATTCAAATAAGGTCGATGAGGGCAATTACTTGAGAGAAATTGAAAATAATTGAACAAAAATTCAATATATTTTTCAGTTATTTTCAATTTATCAAAAACCAAAAAAAAGTCGAGATGAAAACTTACGCTCTCTTTCATATTCAGTCATATCAAGGGCAACGACAGCTCCTTCAGTATAATTCCATGATGTTACATCTTGTTTGATATGGCAAAAGGCACCAACGGCTTGTGATATAAGCACTCGATTCAAATCAGCTCTTTGATACACCCAGCATCGATATTTCTGAAAGAAAAATAATCATACCGTTTACAGAATTACGTTTATACTTGAGAACACCGAAAAAAATTGAATTCGGAGCAAATAACTCACCGAAAGTGGATCCAAATCATCGTAGGTGATTAAGTAGGATTTCAAATTCTCTTTGAAAAATCCAATGCATCGCAAAATATAATCGGGATCGTGGTAGATATCAACTGGTCGACCCAAGTGATCCACGGACAAGCAGTAGTTTTCATCAATCATGACCTCTTTTTGATCAGTGCCACACACGGAAAAATCGGATATATTTTGTTTGCAACGAATGTCTGGCCGAGGACTAATAGTCACACCACCTAGAATACTGTTTCGTAGAAAGAAAGAGAGAGAGAGTGATCAAATGTTAAGATTTATATTAAACAAAAGATGATGGTTCATACCGTGTTTTGAATGGATGTTCGCCTCTTTGTGTAAAGTTAAATTTTCCGGCCACAGGGCACCTTACAGGAACTGGATTTTTTGCTGAAATTTATCAAAAGAAAACACGTTGATAGAATATCATGGTTTTTTTTTTCAATAACCGACATCAGATTTATCAACAAAAACTTGATTTTTGTCTTAACCTAATATCGTAATAATTAAACAATAAATGGTGTATTTACCCAAAAGTAGATCATATTTCCATTCTTCTCGATTTGGAAACTGTACCCACGAGCAAACGGTACTGAAATCATCTTTAATCACAGCCAAACCACGTCGGAATCGAATGATATTGTGATGTCTCGGTACGAAATCGTAGCATACATAATCCTTTTGGCTGAAATATGTACAAGTGATATTGTGTTAGTAAACATTCGTTGACAATGTCATGTTAACGATGGTAATTCGAGAAGCGAATATCTAAAGTTGTTGAAAACAATAAATTTGTTATACCATCCATCAACCGTAAGCCGTGCCATCATGATGCGCGTATCTCTTTGTTCTTTGCAAACATAAATGGTGCGTCGATAACGTGCTTTGTCTGGATAGTAAGTTTCAATCATGTGAGTTTCATTAATGAAAACATCAGCATCAATATTGGCCGTATTAACCCAATCGCCGCTAAAATTTTGTGGCAACCGACAGCCGGGCTCAACGACTTCCGCTTTCACTGGCGTGACTCGCATTCTTTCCGGGCTCTTCTCAACCGTTTTCAGTGTGTTACTATGATGATGTATAAAATAAAATGAAATATGTTTTGTTTTTAACCAGATATGTTTATAGTTATGGCTGAATAAAAACAAAAACACTAAAGTTAAATTGCACAAAAAACGAGACACTTAACTTTTGTGAATGTTCAACCTACTTTAGAGCTACTTTTAATAAACCACAAAATAAAATGGCCAATAAAATGCGGTACTCACCACTCAGCCGTAATTGAAACACCAATGTAAAGATCATCATCACGATTCTTCAAGAAGCAACGATATTTTTCATCTTTTCGACTTTCTTTTGTGTTTGCCACAGCAAAGTAATGATTTTTACCAATAAACCAATCACCCAAACAACTGTATTCGACGACACCATTGAATGTACCTGTCATTCCCTGGCATTGTTTGTATGTGATATTGAATTTTTGATTTGTTATCAAAAATTGTGTACCGGCCGTTTGACATGATCGAATTTGTGCATCGGGATGGTCACATTCACCCGTAAAACGGAAACGATTCTAAATCAAAGAAAAACTCAGTCACTCACTGTGCGAATGGATTAATACGACAATCAAGAAACAAACCTGATATGTAAATTGCCAGACACCTTCGAGCGACGAACGACAATTGATTGGAATGTAATTTTCATTGAACAGCGTAATTAATTGTTGATCATTGTTAATGCCGTGGCATACACGTTCAACCGTTGGTTCCTCGCCGCTTTCCAGTCCAACACATGGACTCTCGATTTTTTCAAATACGTTCAATGTTCGTGGATACGTCTTAACACAATGATAGCAATTTTCAACTTTTGATTTAAAAACAAAGGTATAGTCGGCACCATCTTTTAAAAATGTAACACATTCACCGCGATGCGACATTGATATGTCGTCAATGACTGTCTGTGTTGGATTGCCCAGTTCCCATGAGAACCATGTACCTCGTAATATCATTGGCATATGGCATTCTCCGTACGCTTGTTGAACTGTCCAAAAGATAAAAACATACAATTCCATTCAATATGCAATCAAAAATAAACGCTTTGAAATTCTAATTAAAACATGAGTAACTTTAGCCATTTCAGGGGTGTGGCTTAGTTAAAAACTAATGTAAGCACCGTATAGTTTTGTTTAATAAATATAAACTTACCATAAAAAATGTTTACAACTTGAAATAGCAACACTATTCTCGGTAACATGTTGTAATAAATTGAAACATATATAAAATGTCGAGGGTAAAATTAAACGAATATTAAAAGAAAACAATTTGATATGATGGAAACAACAAACAATTAGTTGCTGGTGCGACTCTTTAAACTATGACTGTACAAATGTCATACACACACATTAACGTATATGACAATATGATATTATTATTGTGAATGGGGCTTCACATTGTGAATGCGAATCGACATTTTTAGTGCTGTCCTCTATGGCTCATCGCACAAAAATTACGATTATTGGTTTTTTATGTGATATTTTGTCATTGATATGAAACGTAAATAATACGTATTTATGTATTTGGGGTTTGATTGTATTTTTTTACTCGCTCTTCACTCAGATTTAAAATCCTCGTGCTAAAAATGGATTTAAAATGTGATCTTTTTTTTAAGAGTTGAACCCTTTCCAAAATGGGATTCAATGATTCGGGGAAATGTTGAGGTTTTGTAAGTTTATTGTTCTACGGACAAAAGGCTAAAGATATTAAGTAGTCATGCAATCCGATTGTAAGCCCCACATCAACGGGTGGAAAATCTTGTAAAAAAGGCAAGACTTATAAAATGAAACAAAAAAAGGAGACTTTAAAATCTGCCTAATCTAGTTCATCGCATCGAACGATATGTACTGTGCTGCAACTATTTCAACTTTTGTGATTCGTTTAGATCGTGTCTATTCGTAACATTCATTCGAAATGCACGGTACAAATACAGTCATACAAATAAAATACAATGAAGCAAATAAAATGGGCTCTTCTCTAAAACTGCTTGTGGATAGATTTTATTATATATGGTTCGAAAAAGTAGAAGAAACATACACACACGAAAAGGAAAAAATATTATTCAAAATGTACATGCTCAACGGAGCGAGAGTGTAATTGAGATACGATAAGAATCCCGTACAAATATTTTCAAGTAAAACCTTTGAACTCTCTTTCGCTCTCCATCTATATCTTGTGTATATGCCCATCCCCCCTCAACATCGAATGTGTGGATTCAGGCTCTTTCGGAAAAATCATCGTAATCCTTTGAGTTTTCGGTAGGTCGTGCATAGATTTTTCGGCGTTGCGTATACGTGTTGGTGTGTGAGAGCGATGCTATCGCATGGTATGCCGAATTTCTTTTTCCGATGGATACTAGTACATTTTGACTTTGCTTGGGGTATGAATGCATATCATTGTTTCGTTCGTTCTTTCCGATGGTGACCCATGTATGTTGTGTATTTGCGCCATTCGTATTCAAAACAATGCGCATATTTAACTTTTGATACTACCCCAGTTTCAAGTTAGTCACCTTTTGACTGTGTATGAGAGCGCCCATTTTATTCATGTAGTTGTGCACAGGCACGGCAGTTGCTATTGTTGTTGGCTATGCTGGTGATACTGGTGGTTCTGCGTGCTTTTACAAATATTCGCATCTATATAGAGCACCAAATCGAGAATCTATAGTATATACTGTTGTGTTTTTTTGGATGTGTACAGCAAATATATATACACACACTGTGCGCTATCTGATTTTGATGATACTTCAGCGACAGTCTCCAACCGCGCTACGCGAAAGAGAGAGGGCGAATGAGAAACATGTTTTTACTGCATTTTAATACAAGTTCACACACAACTGACGCTATGGAAAATTGTGTTGAAATATAGAGTGCGAATAGACGTTGCCAGCATACGATAAAACGAATCGAAACGGAACACAACCATTGACGATTACGTCGACATAATCTCCCCTTTGGCAACGCAAACAGTCATTTCCATATAACACCAAAGTGTGTATGTTCTCATACATCTGCATTTTCCATTGTTTTGTTGGTTCAATTAAAAGCGATCGGACGACCGTATTAAGCAAAAAAAGAAACACACACACACCAAATCGAAGGGAAAAAACACAGTATCGTGGATTTTTCATCACAATTGAAGATAGAAAGGAAAAAGTTGCAAGCAAGAGAAAACACAGCGAGTGTTCAAGTCATAATGTGTTGGCGAATGGTTTTGGTGGTGCGATTTTCAGTGCAGCTAACGACCGTATGAACAGACGAATGTATGAAGTGAACATTGAAGCGAGACACCACATGAAATACAATCAAGCGAAAAATACCGAGAGCAAAAGAAATCAACAAAAAAAGTGAACAAGTGAAAAAGAATGTCATATACACAAATGGAAAATTGCATAGACAGCAATTTTTCGTTGTAAAATATTTTTTCCGTTTTCAATACGTGTGTGAGCGAGATTTTTGTTCTCACATTGTTGTTCACTGCGTGTACATTGGACACTCTCTGTGTGTTATATTTTTTTTTGTGTTGACGGTGGCACACTCAGTGCGAATATCAGTGTGTATTGAACGGTCGAAAAGTGTATATTGAAAAATATTTTTGTGCTGATTTTAGTCCGGTGGTGTGTGTACGCATTGTTTCATTTTTTATGTTTCTGTTCGGTTTGCCTCTATAGGTTTTCAATTCCCAAATTGCTGAATCTCGCTCTCGGTTTTTTTTTTCTTCATCAACAATCTAAGGGAATGTAACTCTGCATTTTGCTGCGTTTATCACTTGATTTGTTTGCGTTCAAACAACAATCCATAGCTGCAACAGTATTTCTAATCGTTCCATTCCAAATCGAGCATACAGTTTTGGGATTTGGACGAAGGAAAAAAAACATACACACACAAAATTGGTGATAGCAAGACTCTAAACTCATTTTTTTCCTTCTCTTTTTTGTGAGTCGAATTGACACAGAGACTTCGATCGAACGATTGATACAAAACAGGCTAATAGAATGGAATACAATAATAATGAAGTTAACCCGAAAATTGAAGTGAATCGAAAAAGTGAAATAGAATCCGATAAACGTGTTTGTGTCGTGCACGACATCCAATAAATTGAGAATTGAAGACGCTTTTTCTCATCCTTACACCAGTGTATTTGGTGTGTGTTTTTTTCTTTTCAATTGTCTTTTTTCTATTCTGCCTCGCTCAATTCGATATTTCGCATACCATTTGAGATTGTGTCTCCTCCTTTTTAACTCAGCTTATCAATAAAAGCGTTTGAAGTGAACGAAGAACATAAAAAAACGGTAACACATCGTTTACAAATTCATCGGCTACGACCACTTACGGCAAACAAACGAAAAAAAAAGAAAAAGAAAAAAAAACACACACAACATCTGCAATAAAATTGGAAATTGGCCCCGTCGACATTGCCGAAGAGTGAAAAGTGTGTGATGAAGTCAAAGAAAGTGTTGCCGATCTATATGGTCTATCGTTGTCGATGAAGTTGCATCGATAATTTCGGGTGTCGAATTACAGTTTAACGTCGCTAACATTTTCTCCCATTTCAGTCTTTCGCTCCGGTTCAGTGTTGTGTTGCGCGAAGCGAAAGAATGGCGTTTTTAATATTAAACTCTATACGAGGTTACAACATTCTCTAGAACATAAAAATGAACGAGTTCTAAATTCTTTTGCTCTAATTAAACATTTTGGTTTCATGGGAACATTTTGTGGAACACAGTACGCCCGCAACCAGAAAATATATATTGGGTTACCGTATCGATTCCTGTAAACATAATTTTCGTTTGAAATACCTCGAATCGAAAGTAAAGCGAAAAAAAAGGAACACTTTATTGAAAAACATTTCACGTTGAACAATGTAAATTTTTATCAATACAGTGTATCGAACCAATTATGAGAACAAATTTCGTGCAGCAAATTTTCGTGTGCAAAAAGGTTCTAGAGCAAACGGTTGAGGAAAATAAATAAATAAATAACAAGAGACGATCAAAAGAGTGAGTGGCAGAGAGTAAAGTGGGGAGCAAAGGAAATTTAATATACCAGAAGCGTATTAGTGGCCATTGTGGAGTGACATCGAGAGTTCATTTAAATAAAGTGTGTATATGTATCTCGAAGTAAATCTTGTGCGCGTTCATTGTGTGTACAAAAGTCGAGTGTATGTTGAGTTCATTGAATACAGAAGAACAAATGAGCGAAGAGAACGATAGAGCGTTGAACAAGAGAGCGAGAGAAGAAAAAAAAAAGGTTTCCGAAGGTCTATTTTCAATAGTGCATGAATGAGTGATATCATCTAAAGTGTTGTCATTAATGGTTTTGCTGTTTTTCGCTGTACACACAAATATATAACACTAAAATAACAATAAAATATTGTCGCAACGTAAAGTTGTCGACCCATCGAACGAATGGCAAAAAGTGGATTGAAGCCAAGAAATTGTTAGCTCCGGATTATTGGATATTATGAAATCGTAACCATAATTTGTTACGCTCTGCCACGGCACAATGTGATGGCACAATCAATTAGATCGAATGCAAGGATTACCATTATTATGCGTAATAAATAAAAATTTATTGACATAAAAAAACTAAAACTAAAGCAAAAACATAATTATTTACGGTAAAAGTGCTCTGTATATGTATGCATAGCGCGTAATGGGCCCCCGAACGTCATTCACTTGAAAAAGTTTTGTTTTGCGAAAAACAGAGTGAAAAAAAAGAGAAAGGAACGGGAAGAAACGGACGAAAGAAAAGGAATTAAAAAAGTGTTATCGCTCTGCAAGAGCTCAAGAGGAACGCGCCAAAGGGAAGGAACTGAGTTGTGATTAGACGAATCAAATTAGTCAAATGAGAACGTTAATTTTTGTGCATAAAACCTTAAACATTCTCGGGCTAAGTAAATATAAATAAAAACAACAAAAACAAAGACGAAGAAGAAGTGCGGTCATAAAGTGAAATCTCCAAACTATAAAAGAGAAAGAAAAGAATCATCGTGAAAAGTGAATGAAAAGAAAGAAAGGATCGCCCACGAAAAAAGGTTACCAACGATACACGTCAAAGATAAAAAGAAGCGAAAGAGAGAAGAGAAAAAAGAACATCTTGATATTCTGAGCTTTCACGTTGTTTTAACATTAGCATCGGCATCCAAAAAGCAGCTAATTTACATAAAAAAAACTGTTCCAACAAGGAAATCATGTATACGAAAAATGCGAAGCATTCGAACGAAAACGACAGTGCCGACATCGACATCAAATTCATCAGTTACAAAAAAAATAACAACAACAACAATAACCAAACGCAACAAAATTTTACCTCGAGAAAAAAAATCTAATTAAATTTCTTTGTGATGCTATTTAGAGATAGAGCCATTTCTCTTTGAGCGCACGAATCCGGACAATGGCTCTAATTAATTTGAATAGAAATGACTATGTTTTTACCATATTCATCATCATGCTGGTGGTTTGCGTACAGGCAAGCTCATACAAAGGTAGGTTTTGAAAATGACCAAGCGACAGGAGCGATGTGCTTTTGTTTTGAACCCATTAAAATTGCATTTAAAGTAGTAGAGAGAACGGTGTGCGGTAGAGAAATATACCAAGATATATAGAGAGATTGCATAAAGAAACGAGAAAAAAAAGCGAACGGCCGAGATTCGGAACGTGAGTGTAGAAGAAGAGAAAAAAAACTACAAAAATACGATATTTGTAAAATTTTATGCGGCACACAGCTGCGATTTTCCCCCGCAGCATGTTGCCAATTCGGGCCGAGTAACTATAGCTTAAGCCATTCAACATGCCCCTTGTTTATAATTTTATCATCTTTTTGGTCGTGATTCCGTTTTTCATCGTATTGAAATCTCTTGCCACTCTTTTTTTTCGTTCGACTGTGACAGTCAGCGCAAAAGATGTGAATGGATAACGTTTTAAGCCCATTTTTGGATTTCCTGAGAAAAGGAGCGCACAAAATGTGTGAAAGATGAAAAGTCTATAATGAATGTACGATAATAAGAGGAAAATGTGTGCAAAAAATTAAAGCAGATGAACGAAAAAAGTAGACAACAAAAAATAGAAGAACAAATAATTCGCTTTCAACTATGCTGTGCATTTTGAATATAAAACATCGTTCTTCCTTTTGCATTGAATAATTAAAAATTCTGTGCATTTTTTCTCTTTCTCTCTATTTTTTTCATTTTTTTTTCATTTCGTTGGTGTTTTGACGTGGTACTGGAATATTCTATCTTGACCATTTCAAACATTGTGTATGTGTGTGTGCACAAACGGAAAATGCCATAAATATACAGACAGTGGATACGGAACGGGCAAAAGCGGCAAAGGCAGTACATCATTCAATTCACAAAATCGTATTATGTCATCGGATTCTGCTTTATTTACGACAAGGAATAATACAAAAGTGATTGCTCAACGTGGCGGCCTAGCTATTTTACCGTGTGCGGTAAAGTGGAATCCGACTGCGACGGTAAGTTATATCAAACACAAATATAAATAGGAAAGATAACAAAAAAAACGTAGGTAGCAAAAAATATATCACATATATACTGAGAGAGACTGAGAATCTAGCGAAGCGTTCACAATTTGAATCCTTCCCGTTTTTGCCATATCTTCGTCTCTTCGGGCGCACTTGATGTGTTTGGTGTGCGCTCAACATTTGATACGGCATTATAAATCACACATAAATTTTGTTCATGCATCAAATAGCACAAACGAAAAAGAAACAACACACAGCAACAATGCTGAGAAAATGTATAACGACAACAATACCACCACCATCAGTAGCAGCAACAGAAGCAACAAAAATTTTGAAACAAGAATAACATTTCGACGTAGCGGGCAAGAGTGTAGAAGATGACAGAGCGAAAACTATTCGTCTATGTGTCGTGGCACAGGCATAAAATATTCAAAATATGCACCGGTGTTATATGGTTGTACATGTTGAGTACATGGGCACGTGCAACAGCCAACACAAAAATAAATGTCTCATAGACGGTGAGAAAAGCGAGAAAGCGACAAAGATACCGAAAGTGTTGTTCAACATGTACCCTTTGTTTCTTTGAGTTCAATCAGCGATATATATATATAGTTTTTTTTTTTCATTCTTCGCTCTCGAAGAGCCACTTTTACGTGTCGACTGAGTGTACATGTTTTCGATCCAGTTCGACAGGCACACGGTGTACATGCACATTTTCTCTCGTTCTCTTTCACACGAATGATTACAGGAACATCAACAGCAACAACATTAGCGCACCCAGCGCATTTTCCAAAGGAATCAAGCAGTCGTAATTAATTCATTTGTCGACAATAAATCAATGAGTGTTTATGTGAATCTTATGTTTTGTTACCATATATTCAGTTTTCATTTTCTATTTTAACTTGTAAATGAATTGCTTTCTGGCATCGTCAATAAATCCAGCGGCAATATAGTAGCACAGAGAGACATACACGTTCACCAACGTATACATTTTGTGTTACTGTATGGCGTTGCATTTACATTGTGTGTCACCACATCTTTCTCTCTTCAATATTATTCAAATGAATTTCCTATTCAATTTGTCTGTGCTAACGTATTTATGTTTGTTCGTTTTTGCTTTTGGTTACTCGTTTCGCTTGCAGGTATCATGGATCAGAAGAAGAGACTTTCAATTACTTACGGTTGGTTTATCAACATACAGTTCAGACGATAGGTTTCTCGTTGAACATGCCCGACATATGGGACATTGGTCATTACGGATCAAATCGGTTCGTGATGATGATCGAGGACTTTACGAGGTACTATTAATGTACATTTATTACGCACACTTTTCTGCCACATTCACATCGGTAATCTTTTTTTATTACAGTGCCAATTATCCATTCATCCAACTCAATCGATATTCATTGAACTTAAAGTTGTTGGTATGTCCTCCTCCTTTTTATCAATGTTTTCATTTCACTCTCTCTCTCTCTTTTATCATAAATTAGATTAAGTTTGTATACAGTGTTTGCACGTTTTGAAAGCGTATAAGATACTTGAATTGATTTTGTTAAACACATTAAATAGACGAATCATTTTTTATGCCATATCATTTGTGATTTGTTACCCCCTTTGTATCATGAAATAATCGCATTCTCCTTTAGTCAAATAACGTGTACAAGTCATTTAAGTCAGTTGAAAAAAGTACCGAGACGAAGATTTATCGTTCATTTTTGTCCTTTTTCACCATTAAATCGTGTGCGTCTTAAGTTTATCAACACATTTAATAGGATTTCCTCTTTCGTTTCGTTTCTTTTTTTTATTATCTTATCTTTCTCTCAATGCGTTTTACATTAAAATAAAATGAAATTGTGCAGAAGCGGTTGCCGATATAATCGGAGCTCCGGATATCCACGTAGATGAAGGATCAACACTGCGCTTAGAATGTAGACTAAGAAGGGCAACCGAGAATCCTGCTTTCGTTTTCTGGTAAGAGCTTTTTATCCTCATCACATTTTTTGCCGTATTTTTTTTTATTACACTCCACGTACTTGCACTTGATACATTTTTAAAAAAAGAAGCATTTTTTGTTCGGCCCAACATTTTGTAACATACAAAAAATAATGTTCCGTCAAATCAGTACATGATCGATTTTCATTTATTGAATCAAGCAAACATAAAAAAAGTTTTAATTTATCTATGTTTTTCATTACTTTTTTTGTGTGCTATTGCCGTTTCAAACGAACTCAATCTAGGTACCACAATACAAAAATGGTTAACTATGACACACACAATGGATTTTCAGTGTCTTCCACATTATTACAACCATTGGATGAACCGTATGAATCGAATGCGGCCAGTGTCAATGGAAAACATCCCCCAAATGCCACCATTACACCGACAAATAAAAATGCGCCAATATCGAAAACTAAAAAAACTACCAACTCACCAACGCAATCAATTAGTATACTTACCATAAATGAAGTGAGTTTTTTGCATAAGGGCAATTACACTTGTGCACCATCGAATGCAAAGCAAGCCAGCATTACGGTTCATGTTTTAAGAGGTAATATTAATGTACATTCCAAAGCTATTAAGCACATTTCTATTGCGCGTTCATTGTTATTCTTTTTCATCCACTCATTCGTTCAATTCCTATCAAATTTTTTGTTCGTCCATTCCTTTACTCTCTCTCTCTCCCTCATTCTCCCCCATTTCCACCAACCAATCTCGCAATCACCCCAAGCACATATTATCGCCAAAGCTCTATCACTCTACAACTCTCATTCACATATACATATTATTAATTTTATTGAATCGATTTTGGTTTGGCATATGTTTCGGTCCGCTCTTTTCATGTACTTACTTATTTTCACATTCATTCATTTCAGTCTCTCCATTTATTCGTTATGCTATTCGTACATTTACATTATTTTTGTGCTATAATCTGGCAAATTACATAATTTCTTTTTTTTTTGCTCGCTCTCGCCACTTCACGTACTTCAAATTTTTGCTCGTTCTCCCAGAATTTTCGATATATTTGACCGTTTGTATAATGTTGTTGTGTATTTTTTTCTCTCTTTTTTCCGTCGATTTTTTTCTTTTTGCTGCAATGTCTTTTGTGTACCATCCATGGCTCGGCACTACCATTCGGGGGATGTTTTTTTTTTTTTTCAACGGAATTTATTGTAGATGAAAAACCGGCAGCAATGCAACATGCAAATGGAAGCATAACTACCGATGAAGATATTAAATCAAACTCTAGACGTTCTCAGTTACCAATGAAATCAAAGCATATCCTATTAATATTTATTTTAGTCTCTGTTATAAAATATGTTTATAGATAAAAAAAAATTTACAACATTTTTGTGTTCGAAAAAAAATTATATATATATATATTGCGGAAATGTTTTAATGCTGCACGGCCAAACCGCAAAATAGTAGTGCAACCGAACATCAGCAACAGCAGCAGCCAACAATAATAACAACATACAACCACTACGCATCACATAAAATATGTATGCCATTGTGGAAGTAACGTAAAAAAAGAACCTAAAAACATTAAATAGCAAATCTGACTGACGACGATTAAGTAAATGAAAGAGAAAAAAACACTATATATATAAAAAAGTAAATATAAGAGCCGGACAGCTAAATTGAGATGGCAAATACAGAAGATGAGTGTGAGATAGAGCGAAAAGAAACACATCACATTAAAAGCACATACAGGATATATGCCATAAAGCGAATGCAGTAATCTCGAACGGATGCCAGCGTTAGATGATAATAATGAATACACGTACGTAATAAAAGCGATACAGCAACAATATTCCTATAACTCTCTATAGTACATCAACGGATTTCAATTGAAACGCATGTAATATTTATAAAAAAAAACTACTAAAATAAAATGGAATGATGAGGCAAAGAAAAAATCAAGCAAGTACATACAAAGATGTATCTGCTGTGGCACACTCACAACGGAACAAATAATAAAACGAACAGTGAAAGAAAAAGTGGATCCGTTGTTGGGGATAAAAAAAGCATCAAAGCATACTACATATATATATTGGGAACGGTGACACGACAAGTGGATGAACGTAATAATTAGAAGATTACTAACTATTAAACTAAATGGCAGCATTCACATATGGTGAAAATAAGGATAAACCGAATCGAATGTAATTCAGATTTATCATTGAATCGTGTTAGAAAATGAGGGATATATTTTTTTTTTGGTTCGTTGTTTTCTTTTCGTTTCTGTACTTGGTTGATTTAATAAAGAAAATGGAAAACTATGATCATTATTGTAATTATTATTAAAAAAAATTTAAGAAGACTTTTCATTCTGTTTGTAATTTTCTGGATGGTGGCTTTTCTCATTTGTGGTTGAGCTGTAATAATGGTTAAGCCACTAAATTTCTCACTGCGGTCTCGGGTTAATTCTGCCCTTTTATCTTTGTATGTTTTGTCGCTTCTGCACATGGCATTGTGGATATCATCATCTGCAGATGTGTGTATTTTCGGTTTACAATGGCTTCAAGTGGTGTAGATTGAAACACGTCTTACAGTGCAAACGGGTCATTAAAAAGCTCATGCATGATTAAAACCATTGCAACGATTTGGTGGGTATACCCTTTTGACATTTTCTGTTCGAGGCATATCATTTATGGTAAAAGTTGCACACGCTCTCTTCATCTCTCTCTCTCTTTCTTTTGTCTGTCACCCACGCTGTTTTATTATTTCTACCTCTCTCCCTTGCTATTTTCCCATATTTCCGTTTCGCTCTTGTTGGATTTTTTTCAGCATCTTTTGTCTTTTGTCGCTCTTTTATTTTTCAATCTTTTTAAATGGGCAAAAAGCTTGGCCCCAAATTGAATTGCTCTTGCCAAATGAAAAGTGATAGAGCGTAAATGGGGATAGCACAAGCGGGGTAAGTGTATCTATTCATATATGTATGAGCATAACTCAAGTCCATCACATATTATTAATATATATTAGTGGTTGATTTTGTTGTGTGCGTGTGTTCGGTAATTGGATTTTATCCATTACCAAACTGAAATGATATCAATTATTTAATTTATTGTTTCGCATGATTTATTGGTATGCAATGACTCATTTATATTTTAATCAATGAAATGCCTTTAAATAGTTCGTCAATAGTGTTTGGTGCAACGGTGGCTGCTTGATTTGACTGGGGTTAGCATGACAAAACATAATTTTCAGCGTCGCTTGGTGTGAACAACAAACACATAATGCGGCACATCGAGCATAGCGATTTTGCAACAGAGATAGATATCCATTGAATATTTAATTCAATCAGATTATGGTTGTGCATATGTGATGGCGAATAGCGAACGGATTACGCGAATAAATGCGCTATATGCTATGCCAGTGAGAATGTAAAATAATCGTTCGCAGAGATACATGTTATACACATCAATTGAATTGAATAGTTTTCAGACTCGGTAATGGAGCGGAACTTCACATTTCACCACAACAAAACAACAAGAAGCTATATCAATCGAGGCGTTTTGTTGGTTTTCCTGGCCTTTCGATATTGTTGATGTGTGTGTTTTTTTATTATTATTGTTGGTGCACGCTTTGTTCAATCTAATTGCCTGAAACGCTCAACATATAGAAAATCTTTGTACCAAATGCGTAAATACGAACCGACATTTCTTCCAAATTCAATTGATTTTCGCTGAAGAATTATGGATATATGGATGGCGAGTGTTTGCTTATTGTATTGATACGTGTTCAAGTGTCGGTGGTCGTGCTTTTTCCATTTCGTTTTTTTTTGCTTTGCTGTTTGCTTGGCACAAATGCGTATTAACATTTGTGTAATGCTTTATTCAGCTTATTCCCTGTTTATTATCACAGAAGATGAACAAGAAAAATATTGAGCCAATTCAAACATTATTGGCAGATTGTTTCGAAATCGTTACATGCGAGAGCGTAACATTTTCAATGTAACCATTTTATTTTTCCCCCTCTCTCTCTCTCTCTCTCTGTTTTTTGTCTCTGTCGCCGTGAATCCAATCATTCACGATCTCCTTTCACCTCCGCCACCATTTTTTTTCATTGGATAGTGCTTATGGTACGCGCTGCGTGCATGTTGTTTATTCACACAGAAATGCCAATCTAGCGATTCATCATAGCGCTTCATCCTCTGCATTGGATCGTTATGCGGGTGCCTGCAAAATCAAATCATTTCCCATCGAAAAATATCTGAATAATCGAAGATTGAATTACGCTATAAAATTCGTTCGTATATAAATTATTCATTTGGCGGGCGAAAGCGTGCACATTTTTGCTCAGGTATGAGAATCGGTGTTATCCATTCGCGTTATACCTCTGCAACCATTTGATTATTATTTCCAATTTACCGACAAGCATTTTCTGCATGCTTTTCGTCGTCATCGTCGTCCTTATCGTCGACATCAATAGGGCAGTAACAGCACAATCGAAGCAACAACATTGTGCTGAAAAAGAAAATTGAACATTCATGAAGTCGACAGTCATTTGTCGAACTGCAAATAAACAACGATCGCTTTTATTTGTTTTTCTTTCTTCCTTTCTTTATTTGTTTTGTATAAGCAATGCAAAAACATGAATTTATTGCCTTTAATTGTATTTAAATAATAATTTGTGTATTTTCGGTATGATTTTTTGGGGTTTATTCCTCTTCATATGTCTTTGTGTATATGTATTTGAATGTTTTTCATTGTTTGTATTTTCTTGTTGTTGTTTATATAGATGTTTCTTTTATTTTTTATGGTGTTGCGATAGAATGAGACAAAAATCGAATTGGTGCTTCATTCACATTCATTCACAGCGTGCGTCTCGTGTTTTGTTTTCGGTTCTGTTTTTAATTCGAGTCAGTTAAGTCGTATATGTCTGGAGTGAGGTCGGCTTATTAACAATTCATTTTTATTATCATTTTATTAATATTCTTGTAATAACTTTTTTCCATATATTTTATTAGTTTTCTTTTCATATTATTTCGGTAACTTTTTCATAGTTTGATAGAATGTATGTGTGTTTGTGTGTTTGTGTATGGATGTGTCATCATTAACATTACATATATCGTTTCGTTTTTAATTGGTTGCAGCCAAAGTGCCGAAAAATATGTTGTTTATCAGTTTGTCGCCGTAGCGCATGAATTGTTCCAAATTAAATGGACATGTGTTCAAAGAGAAGCGTTTTTCGATTTTTGTTTTGTTTTATTTTGAATAGTTTTTTTTCCTTATGAATGTGTAAGTTTTGTATTTCGTTATGTGAAAGTTGATTCATTTTTGTTTTGTATTTGTATTCTGTATAAAACATTTATGTAACTTGAATGGTATTTTCTCACTCATTGATATCTAGATAAAATTTATAATATACCTTGACATATTTCGTCGCGGGCCTATCGGTTGTTGATTATCTCTTGTCAACGCAAGCATGTGTTATATTCTTCTTCTTTATTTATTTGAAATGTTAAATGATTTGAATGTAATGTAACACGGATATCATTTCCTTATTCAAATTACAAATGAATGCATTACGATTGGCCTCATTAATCGAAATTTCAAGTTTGATTCCGGTAAATTGTTAATAAATCAACTTCCATATATCAATTAGGTGTGAGATGAAAAGCGTACGGGCATAATGTGTACAATTCAGACTAAAAGAGTCATATAAAATTTAAACGTAAATGAGCAAAGATCAACGTAATACAACGAAAAAAGCCAATTAATTCAACATCATTTCTTAATCTAGAATTGCTTTTATTGGGGTGTGAGGACGTTGAGTGAAAGAGCTGTCAACACTAATTTCTATTTATGTCTCTCTCTCCTCGCGTTTAACGGATTTTCCGATCAGAATCCATCGAGTTTTAAACTTGTCGCGTGAAAAGGGACACGAAATTCATGAACGTAATTTACACGTCAAATTCAGAGAGAAAATTACTCGGTTCATTCAGAACGAATGATTTATTGACAACTTTGGTAGCTAATCACTGTGATTTGTGTTGCGAAATGAAGACAAAAAAAAAAGATAATCCCATGTTTTTTATAAAATTTAACAAATTCTTGACGCACATAATGTAAAATCAAAAGGCAACCAGATACCGTAATGGTGTTTGTTTTTCTACTTCTTCTTTTTCCTATTTTTTTTACCTTCACGTTGAATTAAATTTCACCGGTTCACGTGGGAAATTACATGGGTCATGTTTATCCTTGAAACTTTTCCGTAACAATCTGACATAGACGGTTCCGCTTGTCAGGAAACGAACGAAACCAAATTCAATGCGAAGCAAAATCAAGACAATTTTTCTCTTTCTCCCTCCTTCTCTCTCTCTCTCTCTCTCTCTCTCTCTCTTTCTCTTGCTCAATTGTTCGCTACAATTTTGAAGGCTTTTTAGAATATTTTATAAAATATACGTTTCTTATGTAATTCATCTAATATTTTCATTTTGCTCATTTTTTTATTCTCCTCCGTCAATCATAAAAATTAATCATTTAAAATCCCAATGAAGTGATTCGGATCATATTTTAACTTTTGAAAAACTAATTAAGTTAATAGATTGTGCGAAGACAGCACCGTCCGTAATTGGTAATTATCATAATCCAGCAAATTTAAAACCTAATGGAGAGAAATGGGCCGCTTTTCTCATGAAAACCGTCTTTGTGGTGTGGTGTGTTTGTGTGCATGGACACATTTATTTTTTGTCGTATGGGAGTCAAATACGCTCCAGCTGGGCGTTAGTTTGTTGCTATCTTTTTCTCAGCATATTTTTTTTCTTTATCACAATTTAATTTTTGGAACGGAAACAAATGCATTGGCAAATAAAATGCAAACAGCTGTGATTAATGTCTGTCTTTTCACTTCAAAAGGAAATATACACCGTAATTATTCATGTGAATCAAATTGGGGACATTTGAGCTTTTTTATCTCTTAAAAATAAATACTTTGATTGTACTTTTTTCATGTTTTTGTTGTTGTTGTTGTCATCGCTAATTTTATCAAAAAATGCTAGTATCTCATTTTTCCCCAAAGAATTGCAGAATATAGCATTAGTAAAACTAAATTTAGTTAATAGCCTTTTAGTGTATACGTAATAATAATAGATCAATTTGAGATCAATATCACTCAAATTGCATATTTAATTTTATAATAAGTTTTTTTTTTGTTTGTTTTTTATTTATTTTTTTGTTTAGTTTTTATAAGTATTTAGGCGTTTGAATTGTTAAGTAAAATTTAAGATTTCTTTTCATAAGTTTAATATTCATTCCATTTTTATGAAATTATAAATGTTATTTATAAATATGGCTTGCTAAGCGAGTGACATGTCATTGTGGTTTTATGAGTTTGGGCGTGTATGCAAGGGAAGATGAAGCCACTTTTGCCAAATGCACATGCACACTCACAGAATTTCAGACGGCAAGCATGAATTATATTTGTAGAGCACAATAAATAGATTGACAACGATGTCATCGTTCGGGTAATTGTTTTTTTTTTCTTGCTGTGACGTATGTTGAAAATTCAATAGTAAAGTTTAGCGGTAATTTTTTTGTTCACAAGTGTGAAATTGTGTGATAGAGACATTTCACCGCTAAAACACAATCAGACAATATATTTGATTTGAATTTATATTTCAGCTCATCTGGATGACGTTAGACGATGATACGGAGTGAAAACAATAGAAGTGATTGTTATAGTTATGGTAGTATTTTTATACCTATACCAATCTTATTACTATTGTCTTCACTCCGTGTCATCGCCTAACGTCATCCAGATGAGCTGAAATATTCCAGATGACAAAATCCATATATATTGTCTGTAGACAATTCGATTGACTTTTTGTATTTTTGCTAAATAGTTCATCATTCAAATTTTCTGTCATGCATTTTCACTTTAATCAAATTTAGTGAGGAACGATGCTAATTCATTAAGTAAAATGTGATGTGCAGTGAATACCGAATTCAGAAATATGAGTTTATTTTAAGCATCACATTTCCAAATGACAATAATTCACTTTACAGAATACCATCAGGTCGTCTATCGATGATGTTTTCAAACCATACATATTAATGAAATTACAGTTCAAGCGGAGATGCAAATTTTGAACCGCTTGGAAAAGTCAAATTAATTTTTGATCGATGTGACACATAATATGTGAGAGTTATAAAGTATTTTTTTAGATTTTTTTTTTGTTTTTATCTTTTCTCCTCATCGGTTGAGACGTATTTATAATGTATAATATTTAGTTTTATTAAAATTGAATGTGTTTGTTTTATTCGAAAATGTTTATCAAATTGTCAACCTGTTGGATCAATGTTATTAGATTGTGATAGTATTTACATAAAACCACTACAATTACTAGCTAAAATAAATTGAAAATAGTATTGCTTTGTATAATTCTTACATGGCAAAACGATGGGACTTTAAAAAAGCACAACCGTTTCTGATCCGGGAGCAACACAACAAAAATATGCACATTTGTACTCTCAAATTGTCGAAAATCATATTTGATAAAGAGAAAATGTGAGTTTTCTTCATTCGTCTTCCATTTTGCCAGCAATAAATGCTTGCTCATTTATTTTGATGACAATCGATATCAATGGTTGATTTCTCATCTCGCAATTCAAGACTTGAGTTAAGTGAAATTTCAAGTTCCCTTTTTTTTCAGCAAAACAGTCAAATGACCATCGGTTTTTTTCTAAAGTCCAATCGAACAACCAATTCTTTTTTTTAACCTAAGATGCGTACACGTGTGCTCTGTTCGTTTTGTTTTATTAATCATGTAATTGTGCACAATGTTTTGTTCGAATCAAAGAAGTGAATAAATCGTCTACGCGTAAGCTATAAAATGTTTTTGTTGTAGCACTAATTCAAAATATATGTATAATATATTTGATTTTTTTTGTTTGTTTTTATTTGGTGATAGCATGCAAGTTTAAGGTCATCATAAGCAGGAAGAATTTTGTTTCATGAATCTGAACATTGAGCAAAAAATGTCTATGTGATTTACACTGTTAACAATTGTTATATTTTTGCGTATGTGTTTTTTGTTTTTGTATGTGTTTGTGTTTGTTTGCAACATATGAACAAAATGCGTTGCCGCCATATTTAATAGTCAAATTTTGTTTTCTCTCTTTAACAATCGTGCAATATTTCTTCTGTGTATTTGTATGTGTATGCCGGAAGTGGCCTCTACAAAATAACAATCAAACGGTTAACAACCAACAAAACCGAATAGAATGTTCCATGTTCCTCATAAATTCAATTGAAAATAATAAACAAACCGACTTCTACTGACGGTTTCCCTTCATTTCATTTCAATTGACTGAGCAAAATCCTATTCACCGTTCATCCCGTCGTCAATCTTAATTAATAACGTTTTATTTTTGGTTTTATTCAACACTTTTCAATGTAAATATAATGTAAATATATAAATTCTAATTGCATATTGTTACATAAAAACATGTTTTTTTTTTTATTTTTAGTTTATTTGTCTTCGGTTTGCTTTCGGAGTGTTTTTCTATTTTTTGTCAACATTTTTTTTGTGTTATCGCATGTAAAATAAAGAATACATTCTGCTTTAATTGACCATATTATCAATTCATTACCGATTCAATATCAGACACGATTTATTATTTGAACAAAATACAATGCTTGATAACATTGTAACCAAAATTAGCCGAAATTGTTTGCGCCAAATATAGATTATAATGGATGTTGCATAAAACATGGCACAGAATATTCAAATACCAATTAACAAATTCGTGTTTCTGTTCGGTTCGAAAAGAAAAATTGTGAAAATAATATGGAACAAAAATCGCGAGCGTATACGCAAAATGTAACGTTGAACATTTTGAGTTTTTCTTCATTTTTTTTTTCATCTTCATTTAAATACTTTTAAAAAAGGCTATGTTTATATATTCACTGTCACAATACTTGTTGTTGAATGTTTGTTAGTCTTATTCAGTGGTTATTGTTGCTCAAGTCATCGTCTGCGTCTTTAGAATGATGTTAAGCAGCCCACGCAAACAATGATGTTTCCTGCCATTTTGCAAATTGATAAAATAGAAAGAAAGAGATAGATAGAGAGAGAGAAAGAGAGAGAGAAATAGTTAGGGAAACCTTTAGAATTCACCACAATTCGGTTTTATAAATGGGCATGCCTTACAAGCGAAAGAGTTAATTAATTGAAAACCCACATTTTACCATTAATCACCACCCAACGAAAGTGCTTGAACGATTCGTGGATCCGCTTTGCTGCCATCTCGGAATTCTTCCAGCGTCAATTTGTCGTCGTGTTTCTTATCCATTTGATCGAAAATTTTATCGACTCGCTTTTGCGGTGTATTTTCATCTTCAGACTGTGGTTGCTGACCCTGGTAGTTTGAAAAATTCACATCACAATATCGATTAGCATTCATAGCAATTTATGTGTGACATTTATCCATAGGCAAACAAACATACATATGTTTTGGCATTGTTGTGGTGTTTTTTTTTTACTTTTTCAGATGGCAACATTCATTTTATCAATGGAATGTGCCTCAAAATTGCAATGTAATGTGTCACACGATGCGTTGTTTGTGTACAATGGATTTTAAGACATTATTTCACTTACCACCATCTGATAAATTGCGTCAACGATATTATACATTTCGTCTCGTGTTATGAACCCATCATTGTCCACATCATAAAGTCTGAATGCCCCTGTAATTTTACGCCGGTTTTATATTCGGTACATTTATGTGCGGGTGTGTGGAAGAGAGAGAGAGAGAGAGAGAGAGTCATGAAAAAAATAGACAAAAATTGTGTGAATGGTCTGGCTTTTATCAGGGTAATTTATGTCTTGCCAAAAAAAAAACCAACAACGTAAGAAGAATAAACGGTAACATCGAAATTGCACGCTATCGGAGGAATTTCGAATTATGATACGAATATCGTACACGCAGCAAATGGCCATGTTTCTTTTTAGTCTTCGAAGATAGGAAGTTTTGAATAAGTAGTACATAAAAATAAATTGAGTTGTTGGACAGACGAAGTTGGAAATTGCAACATTTTGTTACACATTTTATGGCTCAATTTTGTGTGTGTGTGTGTGTGCAAAACAAACAAAAAAGGGATTGGATAATACAAAAATGCCGCCGCTCCTATCAATATGAAATTTTTGGTTAAATGGAAATGGGAATGAAGAGCATATATGTTGGCATAGTCAACAGCATCAACAACGGCAGAAGGGAAAAACATATAAAAATGATGGAAAAACGAGAAACAAAATACTTACAATGCAGTTTTTCATCGAGATTTCCACGAGATGTTACTGAAAGTGCCCGAATGAATTCTTCGAATTCGATCGACCCATCCTTTGAGTTTAGCGTTGGATGTACCACACACGGCATTGAATGATAGATGTAAAGAAAAATGAAAGAAAACCAACCGTACCATTATTAATGGACTTTTTATATGGCCCATGAGTTAAATGTGCACCAAGGTAGTGGTAAGTAAAATTGCTTACATTGTTTTCATCGAACACCCGAAATACCAATGACGCAAACTTGCTTGGATCACCTTGTGGGAAGAATTGTTTGTAAATTTTAATGAAACCCTGCAACGAATCCAATAAAATGAAACATATCCATCAATTAAACGGTCGAATTAAAATCGATTATTGTAATCGACCACAGAAAAAACTGGGTTGGAAGTAATAGTTAATTATAAATGTGTCAACAATTTGGAGAATAATAATTTTAACGTACTTGCTCTGTTAGTAAACCATTCGGGCAGTCTTTTAAAAATCCCTTATACCTTAAAAATTCAAATGTTCAATTAGTCTGATGGAAATCGATCAAATAATTCATGAATAATATTTAAGCACGTTGGCATGTTAATTTGAAAAATGTATTGCCATATCAATCTGTCTATTAAAAATGTGGCTAATGTGAAAGCCATGGCAATAAAAGTGTTTGTATAGTTTTAAAAAAATATTATTTTTATCTATACATGGATATTCTTGAATATTGAAGTAAATTGTGGGCGATTAATCAGTTTTGTCAATCTTCATATATAGCAAAACACAATGATTCGTATTTCTTCGCTCTATATATGTCATCAAATTAAAAAATTCCGCGAGTTTAAAAACAACCAAAAATCCACATTTCAAGTGCTGGACATTTCAGTAATTACAGTTTAAATCTACTTCAATATTCATGAATTCTCTCCACTATGTACATAATTATTTATATTTATGCTAGATTCTCTCTAATAGAGAGTTTCTATGCTATGAAACGTAAGAAAATAAACCGAAAAGGATATAGATATAATTGAAACTGCTACAAAAAGGCATTGAATCGTAATTACACAAATCAATTAAGATTGACTGGGATTCGAAAGGGTAATTATTTCGACAAAGTCAATCTGAATTAATGCTCATGTAAAAGTGTATCCAAAGATTCAAATAACTATTTACAAATGTTGTTGAAGAGATAAAAAGGGTCGCAAGTCAAGTCTCAATCGAAATGGATTTGTGGTCTGGCATATTGACGTGCATGAATAATGGCGCGCCACTCGTGATATATACCTAAAAGCATATTGACGCGTATTCCATTTCAATTCAGATTTGGCCAACTCGGCTAGAAGCTACGCTAAATAATTCATCAATAAAAATCGCATTGAAATTCGCCTAATTCCCAAAAAAGACACACCATGCTATCGTCTATTTATAGTTTTGTTTTTGGTGGGTTATGGTTTTTGGCATTTTATGTATGTTTAACATGGAGGTTGGCTGGGAATTCACCATAATATCGGCGCTTTTGCATCATGATTCTGGCTTAAACACGATTTTCATTTTATCTATACAAACACTATTTTTCACTATTTGGCTATAATTCATTTGGGGGTCTGTCTATCTGTCTAAGAAATCGGTTTGGTTTTTCTTTTTGTCTGTGAGTGTTTCAAATAAAAGTAGACGACGTTTTTTTTTGTGGGTTCGATGTGTATATTTGCATAGTTTTGTTGAAAATTGTTGGCACTATTTGATTTCGATTTGATTATATCCAATTTTCAATAATTTCCATTCGTTTTACTACTTACCATTGTCTTATTTCTTTCTCTGTGACTGTGGAAAATCAGGAAATAATATACACATTTATAAAATCATTGAAAAATACAAAATTTCAGAATGGCATTATATTAAATAGAATAGAAAATGAAATAGAGAAAGATAGAGAAAGCGAGAGAGTTATGTGGAGAAAATGAATTTTATAAGTGATAAGCAAACAGCTAGTCTAAAATTGAATTGTTCCCATAGTGTATTTAATAAATTAACCGGGAAAAAAAGCATGTGGATACCGATGTTGTTGTGTTCGATTTTTTTAAATATTACGCTCTGTGCAATGTGGTGAATGTCAATGCGGTAAAATGTGAAATAATAAATTAATCAAATTTACATGAATTTGCACAATTCGTTTTTCAATAAACGAGAATTCATTTTGATCGAATTTTGCCGTGGCGAGACGAACGACAATAACATAAAAAAATATACACACAGCATAAAAATAGAACCGATTGAATATAGTGATATTCATGATAGAATATTGAAATATTGAAAAATTCACTGAGAGAATATGCTGATAGCACACTCGTTATTAAAGTAAAGAAAAAAAAAGAAGAAAAAATAAAACCAGAAGAGGTGGAGTGGATGGATAAATGGTGTAGAATGACAGTAACGCGAGGAACATGGAAAATTGAATAATGTTCGGTGTGATGTGTATGTAATCAAAAGGATGAATATAAATTGAGGAACGAAAATCAAATTAAATTAGTGTTATTCCTATCCTCTTGTTGCTGCATTGCCACTCTGCTGTTTGCTTGCTTGCTTTGGTTAAGCTGATAAAAAACATGGTTTTCACTTTGTACAACCTACAACATTCAAACTATGGATGAACACGGTTTTATAAAATGGCAACATATGGCTGAATGAATATGCAATGTAATGTGTGGTGTATCTGTATATATATGTGTGTATGTGTATATGTGTATCCGATATTATTGTATAACTACATCACTCTATAAAGGTAATCGAGAATCAACGAAAATAAAAAGTAAAAAAAAACAACAGAACTGAATTGAGAGTATGAAACAAACCAAACCAAGGGAAAATATGATACAAAGAGTGTTATTGAATTGATGGAAAAAGGAAAAAAGAGGAATGTTGTTTTTTGTACAGTCGCTACACTAAATGAATCCATCAATGTTATACTTACAGTAGGTATCAGTTGTCAATCTGTCGATCGTATCTTGCTTTAGCTTCGAGTTTTTCTTGCCCATTTCGTTCGCTGTATTTTATGACTTTTATTCTCTTTCGAGCAAAGCTCGACGATTTAACAATAACACTGCTTTTCCCTTTAAATTCTGGCGTGAATATCTATCGCTCTCGTGCTGCGTTTATTGTCTCTCCTGAAGCTTTTGCTGAATATTATACTTTTTACTGTTATTCTTTTATTTTATTTTCTCCTCTTTGTTTCGTTTTTGTTCAAGTTTTTTTATGTATATTCTAATTCGAATTTTTTTTGCGATATTTTTTATATGTCCAATGTGTGTTCCTGAATGTTTGCTATTTCGCTCGATTTACTTTAGCGTGTGCTCACCGTAACTTCGGCCCGGGAATCCTTGGATGTCGTTTTTTCTACGATGTTTGCTTTTTTTAATGCAGCTTATATTTTCTCTTTCGGATTCATACAAAATATTGTTTAAATCTCTATTTAGACGATTTTGTTTTAATGATATCACAGCAATTCAATTATTACTATAAGTTTTTTGTTCTTGTTTGGTGGTTTTACACTACACTTATTCTCTACGTTGTTGTGGTATTTTCGGTGTTCTGCTTTTCTTTTTGTTGTTTTTATTATTATTGTTGTTTGGCGTACGATGCGACCTTCTATCGTTATTGTGAATTCATACTGAGATGAGATCCCTGAAATTGAATTTCAAAGCATAAATAGAGTGAACAAATATATATGGAATTAAGTCAATTGATGCTGAAAATAATGCGATGATGCATTGACTGTGAACAAAATGAATGAGCACACCAACAATGCAACAATACACCAAAGTCATTTTAGTTGCTGTATGTTTTGTTTTAGCCACATACTGGTCGTTGGATTGGTTTCTCGTTAACTGAAAACTCGTCGGTTGATGTATTACAATAACAGAAAAAAATCGCAAATAATGAAACCAATTATCGTTCGAATCAGAGGAGAGCCCAGAAAGATTGGGAGGAGGTTGTGATAGAGAAAATATGCTTTCCTATATTGTGCTATCAATGCCATTGGAAATTCGCAAAAGCAATTTTCAAACAATCATTATTTCAAAATCAGTAGTTCGTTGCCCCATCAAGCAACCCCATTATTATGTACATTATACATATAAAAACAAAAGCACACACGCATTCACAATCCGATAATTCAATTGCGCTTCATCATTTTACCATTCAAAAACATTCCGTATTATCCAGTTCGAAGAAGCGGATAACATGCACGAATCACAGTGAGAAATTCCATTCATTCGCAATCAATGAATTTGTTGAGTGTGTGTAAATCTCAAATCGACGATTGTTAGACGCTTTTAAAACATTACGTACACGTTTCTCGTGAAATGCGCTGCGTCATAAAATCTCGCTCATCCCTTTGTATCTCTATCACCCAATTCATCTGTTACAAACTGTTACCTGTAAGCTGTAATTTTAAACTTGGACTTTATGTGGGTATTTGCTTTACTATTGTTTTGTTATGACTTTCTGCATTTCCATTTTGAAATGAATAGCACAAATCTGGCGTCATACACACATATACAATCGCGTCGACGGAGAGAAACAGAGAGCTCGGGAGTGAGAGCTTTAGATGGGGTGGCAAAAATGAGTGGAAAACGAAAAGGTAATAAAAAGCGATTGTTTCATTGTTTGTTTCTTGGTATTCAACAAATAAACAATAAATAATAATGAGTTAAATTGCCATTACTGCGCTATCATTTACATTTAGATTATATTGAATGGGTTTGTATGCCGAATGGAACGTGAAGTGTTGGCGATGAATGAGCGAAAGACGAGTCGAGATTTAATTTATTTGTATTCAATGTTCGTGCTTTGATGCATCATCAATTTGCTTCATAGCGGAACAACAGCAAATTCATTGCGATCGGCACACGGCCAAAGCACAGCGACAAAGCGAAACACACAAATGAGAGTTTGCGTTAATAGTGTGTTGTATTGTATGACAGTGGAAAAGCAATAGATGGGCGTTTTTCTGGAATGCTAGCACAATGGCCCAGACTCAGTGGCTGCGAATATGTGTGGGTACCATCATACACAACGCGCCATACTCTTGTGTGTTTGTGGCGTACAGAGTATACAGTAGAACGGCTTTATTCTTCTCTCTCTCACTCTTCTTGGATACGAAAATGTGGAAAAACGTGTAACTTCGGGCAGTAAAAGAAACCAGTGTGAACTAGAATTTTACCATTCCACGAGACAAAGTTTTCTTAGAAATGTGTAACATTGAATCCACACAACAAGAAAATCAACAGCAATGGATGGCAACCAACAGTGGTAGCAACACCGTTTTGACAGCATCACAAACACTACATTCAACGATACACGCTTATAACTTTTGGCATCGCAGCGACTGGGGAGGAAGCACGACCGAAAGTGTGAGAGAGAGATAGATAGAAGTAAAGACAGAGAAAGGACGAATATCCGCATGAAACTAGACTTTATGAACACACAATCGAAATGTTATAGTGTGTACACATCCCGGTGCACGCGATAGAGCAGCCAACATCCGCAGACTATCAGCAAACAACACACAACCTTTCAGCTAAAAATTTACATTTAGCTTATCATGCCACACACTTTTGCGGAGGAGATACTCAATACATGATTTGCTCGTTGCCCCGAGCTAAAATATACCACACACGGTCGCGTTACACTATTCATTGCAGACGTTGTCACCCGTTTTTTTTTCTCTTCTTCTCTAGCTCTTTGCTATTTTATTTCGCGTCGTTCGTCGTGTATTGCCTTTGGTATTTGCAACTTTTGTTCGATTCACGTTTATCGAAAACAAAAGATGAAAAATATGAGAGCTGACAAAGCATTACTCTCGAAAAAGTATTCAATTTCTCATTTACAAAGATGAAAAGCGATTAGTCTAATGTCGTCTTTTATGCACACTTTTTCATGCGCCCCGAAACAAAAAAAAATAGAATGATTCATGAATGTTTTAGCGAAACAAGCAACGTGAAAGTGTGATACTATGAAGAGAAAATTCTCTCTAACCCGGACCTATACTTCCTTTTTATGCGATGTGATCGTTTTACACTGGCAACTTAAGTCTCACGTATGCAGCAAATGCCCGTAAAATGTTAAAATGAGAGTATGAAAAAAAGTGGGACGTGCAAGAGAGAGAAAAAGCTGAAAATTGGTTGTTTCACATTTTTGCATCGATTTTGGTTGATTTTTCACGGAGAAATTGCGTTGGAACGGGTGAAAATAGCGAAACGGTGAAAATTTACCAAAGTAAAAATTTCTAGGGCACGTAATTCATTATTATGCAAATTGAATTCAAGTGCACACGTTCACGCACATTTCACCGTTAAATCTCACATGCCAAAGACCTATTTACGTCGTTTTTTTTCCTTCAAATTTTGTTCCTCAATTTTCTTTTCGCTTGACGGTTTTGACATGTATGCTTTAGACTTTTCGCTTCGTTCATTCATTATTTTTATGTGGTTTCCGTTATTCGTGCAGAATTTCCCTTGATTTCGAAACGAAAGCGATTACAAAAAAAAATACGTTTTTTTATAATATTTTCCAACTCTTAATCATTGGCGTCACACAGCACATTAAAACACATGTAACCAAATCGAAAGACGCACTGTAAGCAGCAGCAAAAAAAAGAGTATACAAATTTATCGCAACGTTTCGATGAAACATTGTATTCGGTTCTGGAAAGCGTAAATAAAAACCCCGAAATTATAATGATAATTACGATAATATGTTAAAGGCGATTTTATGGCAAACACACAATCACATACACATAACAGACCAATTATTTTCGTCTGATTATTATTTTGAATTTTTTAGCCCTTTATTTTCTTGATGAAATTGTTGTTCTGGCTGCTCGGCAATTGAGGATGGAAGGAAAAATGATGAAAACCGAAAGAAAAATAACTCACACACCAAACACTCACACACTGTATATTTATATTTATTGAAAACCAGTGAAATGAAAAAAAAAGGAATTATTTTTCCGTGAAAACACTTACAACATGCACTGACACTCGTTGTGCTCGTTGCGCGTTTGGTGCCAAATTCTCAAGTTTAAACGTACTTATGGTGCGATGTGGCTTGCAATAGAGACGAGTTAATCAAAGCTCAAGAGCCCGAAAAAGTGCCAAGAAATGAGAACGCTAAGCGAACAACCAGCAACCATTTACTCGTGTTCTTCTCTTCTTCTTTTTTTTGGTTGCCTCTGTATTCTCGCAAGCTCAATGAGAGACCGAAAAGCACGCTGAATAATGGCAGAAAGAAAAAGAAAGAAGGAACAAATTTATCAGGGGAATGAATGGCTAACGCTTTAACGTAACGGATTACACGCGTTTTGCGCATGTCCTTCCATGGTCATAATATTGTGTGGCATGCGAAAGCGAGTGCGAAAGCATGAGCTGATCGCTTTTGCAAGCACACACTATCGAATCGAACTCGAGAAAGTACACTGCAACAACGGCATTGTTGAAACAACATGTGCCGTATCGAATATATATATCACAATTCAATTGATATTATCAATGCCATTTGTGCTTGCCAATGTGAACCGAACCGAACCGAAACATTCGCTCATCCAATTTAGCCTGTCGTTCAATCCTTTTTTATATATACATATTCTTTTTATCTTTAACACACTTGTTATATCGGTCGGTGGCCATCCTTTGAGACTTGAAAACTATAACTAGTTTTGATATGGTAAAAATGGCACGGCATGCGCTAGAAGAACGCAAAAGAAACAAATCCACTGCAAAATTATGATAAAAGCCTCTAATGCCGATATGAACGGCGAACGTATCTTTTTCTTGCTCACTCATTCGCTTTCTCTCTGCATGTTATGAAATATTCAACGGTTTCGAGTACATGGAAGCGAATGAAAAATGAACAAATTGTATTTTAATGGGCCACAGCAATTCAAAATATGCCAATAATAATGATAATGTGAGCAAATTTTCATGTTTATATTTCAATGCTCATCAATATATACTATGTCGTCGGCTCTTTTTCATCATCGTCAATGATATGAAGGCTGACACACTCAACCATTTTTATAATATGAAGAGAAAAAAATTACTGAAAGCAAATTGGAGAAACGAAATGATAATCATACTTGTACCGTTTCTCTCGCCGAATCTTTTATGAGCGTGAACATGGAAAAAAGGTTTAGTCATAAAAAAAATTTCCCTAAAGTTTTTTTAACACAATTTGTTTGTTTTGAAAGAATAACTTTTGTGTATCGAGGAAATTGCCTGTCGGTTTTTATTTCTCTTTTCTCTCCACAAGTGTGCAAGAATTTCTCCATCAATTTGTCGGAATGAGTTCTCTATATGTAAATATTTAAGCTGGTCAGACGACATGTGTGTTTGTGTGGTCAAACAAAGTTTTCTATCATTCAAATGTGAGTTTTTCCCTGTCTTTCCCTCTCCCTCTCTCTCTCTCTCTCTGTGGGAGAAAATTTAATGTGATGGAAATTGTTTGCATAAAAATAAATTGCACATGTTCATTCCGAGACGGATTTATGACGATGGCATAGATAGACTTCGAAACGAGAGACAATATTTCTAAACTTTTTCTTGTAAGCGAACAGATAAACTTTATTTGATCAAATAAACCAAACATTTAATGCAATATGCAAAATGAATTGGAATTTGTTTGGGATTCTCTTGTGTTTCCTTTTTTTTCTCAAATCCCTTTCTCTTCGTTTCTCTTTTCAATTTTCAGTTTCAATTCCATTTTTCATGTTTCAATTCACAAAGATGATATGTCGTAGTTTATATTACTTCAATCACAATTTCAATCAAAACTTCATGGCTTTTATGTCGTTTGCAAACCTTTCGAACGTTAAATTCAAATATTACCAGAATTCATAGTTCGAAATACGAAATTCGAAACAACACATGCGACAAAACACGAACGCACCCTTTCCGAATGAAAAACAACAAACATTCACAACTGACTTGTCAAAAACGGCGCAATTTCATCACAACTGGTATTCCTGCAACTAGCAAGCACATATGATTAGCATAACCCTCTCAGTAAAGAACTATAATTTTCATTGTAAATATCAACGCGTCGAGTTGTGTGTTAAATAGAAATCATTTGTCGTGTCTTGTGAAAAAAAAATTGTTTTTTGTAAATTGCATCGTAATTCACATCGATTTCAAATACTATAAAATCATGTCAAAGATATTGAAGTCAATTCCAAAATTATCATCACCACGAAAGGCACCATTTACCGTGTTCATCGAAGGTAACATTGGTGCTGGCAAGACAACTTTTCTGAATCATTTCAAAAAGTACGACGATGTTCGTCTATACACCGAACCAGTTGAAAAGTGGCGTAACGTTGATGGCTTCAATCTTTTGGTAACATATTTCAAGTATTTATACGATTTTCTTTTAGTCCAACGTATGTTTTGGGTACTTTTTGGCGCCAAAAATTGACGCATTACTCAATTTGGTCGACCTATTTTTTTTTTTCTTCATTCACTAGGCGGTTTCGAAATCAATAGTATTTAGATAACGTAATGAACATTTCTTTTTTTATACTTCAACAAATTCACAGGAGCTACACTACAAAGAAAGTCACAAATGGGCATTTCCCTTCCAGACATATGTGACGCTGACGATGTTGCAAACGCATACAGAACAAACAAACAAACGAGTCAAACTAATGGAACGATCACTTTATAGTGCTAGGTTTGCATTTTGTTCTCTTCTTTTCGCTGTGCTTACACTTGTTTACATTTGCTTTTCATTTTGTTTATTTCAAAAAATTCCAGATACTGTTTTGTCGAAGCAATGCTGGCAAATAATACACTACACAAAGGAATGTATAATATCATGCAAGAATGGTATAATTATATTAACGATAATGTTCACATTCAGGCTGATTTAATAGGTAATTTTCCGTTGAAATCAACACTTCAAACTAATTGGATTATTTTGATAAGAAATTTGCATGAAAAATCTCTTTAGCACGAAAAATGTATGCCTCATTTGTAATGCGTGATTTTTTTTTGTTTCAACGTTTCAGTGTATTTGCAAACGACTCCCGAAGTTGTGTACGAACGTATGAAAGTTCGTGGACGCAGCGAAGAAACTTCGGTTAGCTTGGATTACTTGAAACAATTGCACGATTTGCATGAAGACTGGCTCATTCACGGACGCAAATATCGCCCAGCCCCGGTATGTTCTTTTTCTCTCAAAAATTGAAGCGTACAGCAATTTCAACGATGCTATTTTCTTGTATTCCAGGTTTTGGTACTGAATGCGGATTTGGATATGGACAAAATATGCGATGAATACGTTCGTTCTGAAAATAGTATACTACGATCGCAAAATCAATTTATATCGACCAATTGAAAAATGGCCCAATTTCTGCGCTCAATCATAGCAGCAGGAAAATATCTCTGGGATCGGATCAATTCAACAAAATAAATTGTAGAGTTTAGGCATCACTCCACATCTACTATTCTTATAATTATTGCTTTCTATTTAGAGTTACCTCACATTCAATAAACACACTATGTTTTTTCTTTCAATTGGTATAATAATGAAAAATCCATTCACAAAAGTGCATTTTCTAACTGTTAATTATAAATTAAAAAAATGGCAAAAAACACAACATTTGCGGTGAAAAATATTGAATTGAGTTTTTCTTTATTATTTATTAACCAAAATTAATTTAACAAGAAAAAAAAATCTGTTTCTTTGTCTGAAAACTCAAAAATGTTCAAAGAGATAAACGAATAATGAGTAGATATTTTAAAGTTAATTTTGATGTTGTTCAATGGTTTCGAGTAATTCCTTGGCATCATCTTCAGTTTTGACACGAACGAGTACGGATCTTGGTTTCGGTTCCGAATCTGGCGTTGGTATGCATACAAGAACGACGTTGTTTTTGAGACGTTTTGCAGGAATTGCGGACGACAGTATAATGTTAAGTAAAATGTTGCCCAAATTCGTGTCGGCTCGAACAATCAGCTGAACTTTGTCGTCTTTCACATTCTTTAGATACAATGTTCCGGTGCCACGGTCCTTATAGTCACCATCATCCTTAACAAATACCTTGCATCGCTTTGAATAGATGCTTTCATCTTCGACAACCGGTTTGAATTCCACTTTTGGCGGTTCATCATCTTCGTCTTCGGCATTTTCACCGTTGCCATTTGTACCATCAGTTTTTTTGTCATTTTCAGCCGGTTTGTTGGTTGTTTGAATGGCACTCGAAAATGAAAATCCTGACGATGATCCACCGAATGGTGTCGCCGATGTCTTACCAAATGAGAACATCGGTGCAGCTGATGTGCTTTGTGTTAGTGCCGTTGCAACTGGCGATGCTGTATTCAATGTTGAATTTTCGGTTTTTGTATCGGCCACGGTTTTTGGTGCGTTGAATGAGAATGAAAATGATGCTGATGCTGCCGATACGGAGCTGTTTACGTGATTTGTTTTTGCTGGTGATGGTGCAGTTGGCGTTGCATTTTTTTCTTTTTCGTCTTCCAAATCCTTTACATATTTTTCATAATCCTTGAAAATTGGCGTCAGAATGCAAGCATTGCCACTGTCAATGTGACCTTTAATGCATTTCAATACAGCATCATTCAAATTCTTCAATTTTTTTATAAATTCCGTTGATTTGGTGTCATCAACTTTTGCTTGCGCATTAAATGATGGCATGGTACCGAACGCAGAGACACTTGATGCCACGCCCGCCGGTTGCTGCGATGAAAAACTATTGCCAAAACTGAACAACGGCTTTGAGACGGACGCAGCTACATCTTCACCACCACCACCGAGTGTTGATTTATTTGATATCAATGAGAAGCCCGAAAATACCGACACTGGTTTCACTTCATTTGAATCGACTTCATCGGTACGGGGACGACGTTTTACTTTTCGAATCACACGATTTTTCATCTCGTTTTCGTCGGCTTTTTGAAATTCACCGACTTCGTCTTTTTCAAGCTCATCATCCCAATTGTTTTGTGTTAGCTGATGATCTGGTCGCCGTTTTGCCATCGTTTCTTTCGAGTATTCTTTTGCACCTTTTTATTTTACACCAATTTTTTTTTACGTTGAAACAACAAATGTTATGTTGACTGTGACTGAAATTACGTTTTTTCACACTTTATGATGTAAAATGGACTCGAGAATTGTTTAAATGTAATTTTATTTGAAAGGTATTTTTTTTCTACTCTGACTAACAAAAAAACTACGGCGTGCTGTTTGAAACAAAATAATGCTGTTGAAAAATGTGACGTTTTATGTGTGCGACAGAACTCATGTAATACCATTTGACATTGAAAAGTAAAACTAACCGCAATGGGTGCGTTCACTGTATGCATTCACCCGTCTTGTTTTACATTGATCATTACTTTAATGGATTGTTGGTGTAAACAAATCGTAAATTGTTTTTAAAACAATTTAATTAAAAATCAAAACATTCGCTTTAATTAAAGATCAAAATATAATGTTACCTGTTTTTTTTTTCTCAAGTGCATTGTTTTTCAGGTTAGTTTCACTCATTCAGTCAGTTTGTTGCATATCGGCATTATTGTGAATTAAATATATTAAATGTCATCTCTGTTTTAGTTCGTTTTCCATAGATATTCGCATATACATCACGCATTACTGTTCTATTGCTTGAGTTGTGCATTTTGGACGCGAAATCGAGACAGTAATCGATTTTATCTGTTACTCATTTTTGACGACTTTTTGTTTCGATACATTTACTTTGCATCTCATTTGAAAATTTTATGTGAACAAATCATTTATAGTATAGTTGATCTGTGAGACTGAATGGATGTTATTAGTAGTAAACGTGTACATTTTGTTTTGATTTATATTGATCGGTCGTAGCATATAAGGTGTATTGTATATACTGATAGTGTATCCGGTCTGGTTTTAGTTTTAATGAACATTCCATGAGTTTTTATCATTTTTACTGGATATTATGTTAAAAATTGCATTCGTTGCAAAATGTTTTATATTAAGTTGACCATTTCATTGATCGTTTTGTTGGTGTTGTGTCAACATTGTCGATCTTTCCGCCTCGATTCACATAATGGATCGGTTCGTATTAATAAGTGTTGTGAACCAAATGAGATTCTCGTTGGTTTGTCGTGTGTAGACGCGAAAGAATCAAACGAAGGTACCAATTAAATTCGGCAGATAATTATTTAATCAAATAAAATTATGAAATGTTGCAAAAAAGTGTGTGTCAATTTTACATTTTTTTATTTTTGCTTTTGTATTATTCAGAAAAATGGTCACCGATCTTCACCGGATACGATGGTAAAGCAAATGCACAAGTGCCTGGTGGATTTTGGTTTGCGATCGGCCTTCCGGCGTGTAGTCAAACACAAGTATGGCCAATTTATTATTATCCAGGGGTATGTACAATTAATTAGTGAACAAGCCAATTTGCAAATTATAAAAAACAGATACATTTGTGACTCATGACTCACTCGTCTCTTTGTGATTTATGAGCAATAAAAAACGACATTTAACATGTGATATTAAGATGCTACTGTTTTCCATAATTTAACAGAGCCGTGATCGTTTAGCTTTACTACCAGACGGCACATTACGTCACTTCATTCAAAAGCCAGAAGATGATGTGGGCGATGCATTCATCAGTGATAGCGATAAATTGGAAGAGATCATGCTTCACGACTATCCACAAGGCCAATATTGTATGGATAAGGTGTGTACATATTTACTAAATACTATGTCCGAAAATCGACCATTTCAGAAGAAATAAATTCAATAACACACAAATCATTTCACACTGACCCATTTATATAATAGATTTGATATCAAATGTAGAACGAAGATAAAATTGATCAAACAAACAAATTTTATTTCATTTGGATCTCATTTCTTAGGCCATATCAAAAAAAGGTGAAAAATCAATCGAAAATCCATCGGAATTCGCAATGGTTTGCGCGCCCGAAAAACAAAGTGATTGGGCAAATACAGAGTTTTTGTTGAGAAAAGTGGTAAATCCCGTGTGCCATGGTATTTCAATCACAATACTTCTGGTCGTTGGAATTTGTTATTTCGTCGTTCCATCGCTGAGGTATGAAAGTCTCCCTTGCTTAAGAAAATTAATAGTATTTCATATAAACTTCTAAACTATTTTACAGAGATCTGGTAGGGAATATTGTTACCACTATCACTTGCTGCTTGATTGTAGGCCAGGTGACCAATCTTATGCGCATTTTCACTGAGTTCCGAAATCACTTCAATTTCTTGCTTTTAGGTAAGTTTCATACTCAGACTTTTGTGGTGTCTGACATCCTCAAAAAATCAAAATTAATTTCATTGTGTCCGCAGATATTTTGGCGGAAGTGAGTATGATGGCAACGTTCTTCTGGCTCAGCAGTTTGGGTTATTTCATTTGGAAAACGTTCCGATCTCGAAACGTATTTCTTCGTGTTACGGATGGAAAAAAATATTGCTGGTACTCATTTTATGCGTGGGGTTGTACGGTGTGTATGGCATCGCTGGCCACATTTGCCCATATCTTCCTCGAAATCACTGAACCAAAGCAAAACCATGCGATTGATGATACGGAGGCCATAGGTAATTTTGCGTTTAAAAGTGGATACATTTCTTCAATTCGGTTTGTTATTTATTCGATTTTATTTCATCCTTTGATTAGGTTTATTGGCCATATTGGTATTTTGTGTATCAAATTGCATTGCGATCGGTTTAAATATTTATTTTTATGTATCAACACACAATTATCTGAGCAATCGTTTGAATGCGTCGTACGGCCGAATTCACCATAAACTCAAGTCCAAGTAAATAATATTGTTGTTTAATTATCTATTAATTTTATTTGCAACATGTTTACATTATTATCTTATCTATAATTTTTGCGCTCCATTTTCAGTTTTATCATGTTTGCATTATTATTACTGCTGTTAGCAATATCATGGGTTCTATCTCTCGTTTCGCGGATTGAAAACGAAGGCATGTTCTACATCAATTTAACGATAAGTGCAATTCAGGCGCCGCTAGTTTTGTACATTTGCGTGCTTCGACAACAGCACGTGACGTATTTACTGCAAAAATCGTGTTGCTCAAAACAACCACTATCCAGCGCGGAGTGCTGGGGCGATGAAATGACCTACATTAATACGGCTCATTAAAATTTACATGTCGTGTTTGGAGTAAAACTGAGATTGATTTAGATAACATTTACAATTGCATATTTATAACAAAAGAATCTCCTATTTCATACAAATTTAATCCGATAAGTGTACACACAAATTTATAAGCATTTATCCAATAGTTTTAAGATGCATTTCGACGAACAACAACTCATTTTAGACCATTTTATCCAAAGATATAAGCAGAGTTGTAAATCACCGGAGAAGTGCAGTAACTTGTGAGTGTCCGCCCTTATTTCATATCGTTGAACAACAGTATTGTATTTAAGCCTGTATATTTGATGTCAGTAAATTTTACAAAACGACATCGTCGAACGAATTATTGCATAGGACTGACTCCGGTTCTGTGTATGTATATTGTAAATTTTACACAAGCAGCTATGATCAACAACTCAGTGCAGAATTTGCAATAAATACGGATACTGTTGCCCAGCGTTCCATATGATTGCCGAGTCTATATACAAGAAAAAGCAGCACTTGTTGACCATGATAAAAAGTGTCTGCACCTCCGCGATGCCTATAGCAGCTCTGAATAAAAAAATTTAGAAACATTTTTCTACTGAACATCCTTTTTTATATATGACGAAATTGTACAAAAATCCTGTTATAAAATTGTCAAATTGTTGAAATGCTTATATGATATAAGTTGTGTCAAGTGTACTTACAACATAGATCAAAACATTCGAAACAATAACATTATCAAAAGCAGATGGGTGGCCTTTTATAATGCCTATTAAGTGTCAATCGTATGTATATTCTAGTGTTAATTGATAATTGTATGTATATTTAAATTATTAACTGCATTCCAAATGTAATCTTGAGACTTATTATATTCGAAATGCACAGTTTATAAATTGAAAGCTTGTCTTCAGTGAACAGAAAGATGTAACTTGAATTTTTGATAAGTTTTTTTTTATTTTTGCAAGCAATATTTTGATAATTATATTTAATTAATATGTATTTACAATTAAACAAAGGCATTTTTCTCAATAAATCTAAAATCTAATGAAGAAAAATCGTTGCGCATTTATTGGTTGTTTTTTGGTGAATATTTTCAAGCTAACGCAGTCTCTAAACACGAATTTATTGATCTTCGATCAAATAACAATTGCTATGATTGCTCAAATCAGTCATTAAACAGCAAGGAAGTTGCATGCAAAAAGTTATTATGAAATTCTTCCTCCGAGAATCGATCAGAAGAAGCTCTGCGAATAAAAAAATAAAGGCATTTTCACGCTAAAATCATGACTAAAGAGCATGAAACAAACCTGGCAGCATTTCGAATGGTTTGATTCTCTTCTTCGGTGTTATAAAGGATGTTGGCGATACAATTTGCATATTCCTGGTCATCAGTTGCCAAATAACCAGTCTGACTACCTTCGGATGTTTCGATGATATCCATTAATGGTCCTCCTGATCTGTAATGGAATGTTTCTTCTTACTCATTCATTTCTGAGCCAAAGGTTTTATTAGCACCGCAGTGCCTACACTTGTCCGATTCCAATAACAGCTCTCTGTTCTGAGTAATTCAAATTCGTTCAAAAAATAGCATACCTATGTGCAACAGTGATTAGACCAGCTGCCATACATTCGACGACTCCAATGCCAAAATGTTCATTCCACATTGTGTGCAAGCCGATCGATGCCATTTTATAATTTTGTATTAGTTCGGCATAAGAGATATTGGCTTTAATTTCAACCGAGTTCTCCAAAGACAAATGCTTTGTCAAATCTTCCATGCTCTTCTTACGTTCTTCGTCTTCTTTGCCACGGCACGATCCGATTATCACTAGTTTTAGCTGTAATTTTTACCAATTAGCAAAATTCCATAGCGTGCAGAAATTCAAGACTATATACCTTTTCCCAGAGTGCTTCATCCTTTCCGAGCAAGGTTCGTAGTTCATACATTGCTTGCAATTGCAGTGGATGATCTTTTTCCGGTCGAAATTGGCCAACGGACATAATTATAATTTTATCTGATTCAATGTGCTCCAAATTCTTCAAATGCGACACCTCACACGGTGGATAGACGCGATGCGTCTTAAATGGTATCTGCCACAAATCTAAAATATGTTTTTCAGTCCACGATGAATTAACCATGACGGTTAACGCCGAACGACCAACGCATCCGTACATCTGTAATTAAATAGAAACGCATTTTATTCTTGTAATTGAATCTAAAAATAAACTGTCGGTCACTTACCTTAGCAAAAATGCGGTAGTAAGTGAGTTTGAGCCATGTTAAAAATGGATTTTTCGTCACATAGCTTTGATTGTTGTGAGCAGAAACGCGTTTTTTGACACGTCTCAACATATCCGTGCTAACGATTGGATAATGCGTATAGGAACCGACTTTGCAATCGCCAAGGTATCGAAAAATTGGATAAGTGAATGCGTAGCCCATTGTATCGATATAAATATCCGGTTGGTACTGTAAAAGTGCTTCCACTCCCAAAACCATTGAACCAAGACTTTGTAGCAAAAGTGTAAAGTGCGGATAACGTTCAGCTTCGACCCAATACCGTTTTCGTAAGAAAACAAAATCGATATTAGTCTCATCTAACACAAAATTAAAGACTCTTTTCACATTTCGCAATATTTCCTCGGCACTGACATTTGTATCGCCGGTATAGATTTTGATGTGAATTTTACTGCCATATTTATGCTGTAGAGCCCGAACTGCACACCATAGCACCCGTTCACCACCTCCGCCAGCATTGCAATACGGATGAAATATTCCCACTTGTAAAATATCTTGTTGACCATTCGATTTGAATTTCTTATTTAAAATATGCTTTCGCAGAACAAACACCGAAGCAACAATACTGATTAACAGTATGAAGATCAAAAGCAAAACGATTTTTGCACTGCAATTTACAAATTTTGAAAAAACATCATTAGTGTGTTGTTGTGAAATACATGAAATCGTGTTTTAACGCTGTTTACTTACACAAACCAGTAGTTTAGTGAACCCAATACCGAAAACATCTTGATTTTAATGTATTTTCATCTTTTCTTTTTGACGTCTTCGTTTGATTTTGTCTTTTTCCAATTTTTTTTTTACCTAAAAGCAAGACGTTTTGATGTTTTTACTCCCGGTGAACAGTTTTACTGATTCTTTATTCTGATACTGTTCGTTTGACGTTTCGTCTTTGTATGCGTGTGCATGTATAAGTAACAACACGTAACCCGATTTTGTGTTTACATATTTAAGCACACACGGTGGGGAAATAAGACTGAGCTACTATCGCGTTGCTCAGTTCTTTCACACATGGACAAATGCTAGTCAGCGAATGAAATTACGGTCTCTATGTATTATTAATGACAAAGTAAAAAAAATGTAATACGATAATTGTAAATTATTGATTGTTGTACGTCAATGTTAAGTTTGTGGGAAATACTTACATTGAATAACAATTCAAAGTCATCAAAACTT